AGGTCAGTGTCAAGACAAGAAGGCTTGCTGGCCATTTTTCTCCTGTATCGCTTAGTCGCATGCAACTGATGCCAGCCGAGCACAGCTACCGTGAACGAGGTAACTTCTTTTTTTGCAAAACTCGGATCCTTTCAGTGAGTGGAATAAGCATACAAAATTGGCAACAAGCAGTGACCAAATTAATTGTCCATCATGACATTGTGCAGAGCTTTAGTAATAGCCTCTCTCCTTGTAATGGGATGTTTGGTTCTCAGGTCTTTTGAAGGATAAACAGAAAATAATAAGTGTAGTAACTGCTTTAGAGCTATAGGGTTGCAACTATATCACTATATCTGCTTGCTCTACCTATCAAAATAAATTCACAGATTTATGGTCACTTTCTTTATGGAAAAACGAATTTGTGGCATTTGCATTGCAATTGGTAAAGCGTAGCTAAAGTCCCTTGACCGTACTTTCATGCTTCTAGTGCTGTCCCAGTGTGCAGAATCTCAATGACACCTCTGTGTGTAAAAATGAACGGGGTATAAGATGGAAGAGGAGGTGTGCACAGCAGTGGAACAAGGGGGCGCTGTGCTGTCAGGCCGTTTTGGCTGGGTGAAGCGTGTCAAACGGGAGAGATCCATGAACAGAGGCTTTTGGGACGTAAGCTGTCAGTTGGTCCTGAACAACCTCTTGTCCAGTACAGCAGCCAGAGTGAGTGACAGCCAGGCAGGATGTGGGAAAGATGTTGATCTCGGGAGCGTCCCAGCATCTGGCGGTGCATTGGTCATGGAGGAGTTCGCACGGCACTCTGCCCTGAAAGAGGGGTCGGTGGTGGTTCAATAACTCACGTTTGTGAACTTTTACCGCCAGCTGACCAGCTGATACTGCGCTCTGCTTAGTGGCACTATAATCTACGATTGTGTACCTACACGTAGTTCTCTGCTCCATGGTCATTTTCTCAGGTAACACTGGATGTGCTTGCATTGTATAGGCTTTGCTCTTCTCACGTGTGCCTGCCTCTTTTTTGTCTTTGTATTTTTTCCTGCTTTTTCCTACTGTATTTGAATGGTCTAATTTTTCTGTATGTATTATTGTTTATCGTGTAAGAAATAATAATAATAACCAGCCAAAGATCCATCTGCTCTGCAGCGCACCTCGTTAATAACTGCTGGAACCTGGTTGTTTTCTTGCTTTAAAGGATGTTGAATAAGTCTGTGTTAAATTTGTTTTGGTGAGTGGGGAAAAAAAATAGAGCAGAGGGATTTTAGATTTTTTCCAGTGGGATATCATTAGGGCTTGACGCAAAAGCCAGGACTTGTAAACTGCATGTACAGCAGCATATATTTGTGTGCATTTGTATGCAAGTTAAATGTTTTGCTCAGGGGTACATCAGCTGTGCCCCTCGCAGCGTTTGAACTCAAAAGCTTCAATTTCCGAGTCCGGTGCTCTACCCACTGCTTCCACAGTGTCGCCACGCGGTCACCAGCTGGCGGTATCTGGGATTCCCCAAGGGGTAGAATGCAATGAGAAAAGCATCAACTGAGGGTAGGATTTGTACCGGGTCCCTGTGGGTGTGCAGTAATGCCCACGAGAGATTTGCCAGGTACCGGGTGGATTGCAGTTCTGGAAGATGAATAACTTGATGGTGGGTGAGAAAGAGAAGCTTGCCCAACTGTCCTCATTCTCCCCGTGCAGTACAGAAGTCACCGCTGTGAGCTAACGCTTAAGGAAGCATCTGACGGCACATGATGTTGTAGACCACGAGTTACAACACCTCACCAAGACTGACCAGTCATCCTGCTCCATCTTCAGGATTGCGTTTTTGCAATGCTTGTTCCACTGTGTCTGCAACATCAGCAGTTGTGCAATGAGGAGGCGAGCAAACAGTCTTGGTTTTCAGGGCTGCACAGACACCCAGCAACACCTTCCCTGCAGTGGAGCAGTGGAGCCAAGTCCTCTTTCGTGATGAGTCGATGTTGTGTTTGGACCATCGTGTTGGCTAGCAGTGACTGGGTGCAAACGTGGTTGCACACGAGACAGTACCGATGATTGACAAGGCCCGGTTGTGCTTGTCGGGGCACGAGTGACTAGCTGTTAAGGGACGTTGTAGTGATTGATGACAGCCTGAATACAAAGTGCAACACTGACTGAGTCCTGAGACCACTTTGGCTGCCTTTCCTGTGAACTTATCCTGACAGGTCGACCTTCCACTCCAGCAGAACAACACCACTTCCTGCTGTTCGTTGAACAGCAGTGCTCTTGTGAGAGGACTCGCCAGACTTGAGCCCCGTTGAACGTGTCTCGGATTAGCTGGGGTGACGGGGGGTTTAGGGTTCGGAGACCAGTGAATAGGCACATGCCTGTCCTGTCCAGCCTCTGCGAGGGGAATGGGACAGAATCCCACAAGATGGCATCGGCAACTTAGTGCTATTCACGTGTCCCACATCATCTTCTCCATGGCCTGCACAGGGGGCTATGTCTTTCACTGGGACTGAGCGGTGTTATTGAAGACAAGTGCAAAGTGTCAGTGCACTGAGCAGATTGTCATTTTCCTGATAATGCTCTGAGTTTCCTTTGATGCTCAGAAGATAAAGAAGACACTGGCGTGATTAAAAGGAGGTGAAAGTAATCGTTTTCCTGTGCTTTGGCTTGTACCCCCACATTCAGCTATAGCTACTAGGGTTCCAAGATCATTGCACCTGTTAAGTTGGTGGAAGGCTTTTATGAGTACGAGAGTTTAATTAATCCTGACTTGACAGACACGTGATTGATCAAAGATCTTGGCAATCACACCTTTTTCATACCCAGTTTTGTAGAATATGCATGGAATTCTTTGAAAGATTCATAGTAGTATGATGCTAAAAACTGCACTGAAAGCATTTATTGTACAATTGTACTATAATGTATTTAAGTGTCAAAATAATTCTGGTATGTATGCCATGCAAAAGGTGATCTGCAAAGAGTCTTTAGCTTTGCACTACCTTGTTTCCCATGAACCTTTGTTCTTTGAGGATCCCTAAGGAACACAGAGCGAACGGGAAGGTCAGAGGGGATTCGGTCAGAGAATGTAATGTCAGCTCCATGTACATTTGGATGTTGTACGTAAGTATTTTAGATGGCACTGGGAGTCTCATCAGTATGAAAAGGAAAGGAACGGACATATTCATTTTTTCACTTCAGGTCTGTGCACCTACAGCTGTAGTGTGCATTATTTTCTTCTAGTCTATTAATTTCCATGTGCCCAATGATACTGAAAGGTCAATCCATAAAAAAAAAACTCCACAGTCACTCACGCTGGGAGGGGGAGCACTGGAAGAAAGCCTGCCTGGTGAAAACTGTGAGCAGTTCTCATTGGAACTTAGGGACAGGAATGAAAGCAATCATTGGGCCCAATATACTCTTAACTGTTAGGTCGTACATCATGAGGGACATAGTATAGAGGCCTGGGTCTCTGCAACACCTCTGTGCAACATTTGAACCCACTGCGTCAAACGGTGTGTTAATCCTGAGAGACGGAGCCGACCAGCAGATCACCGCAGCGCTGGATCGGAGTGGGACCAGCTGGGCACTCATGAAAAGGCCGTCCCAGGGAAGGAGGGATGAGTGCAGGCGGCAGGCAGATGTTTCTGTGGGCACACACAGGAGAGGATTGTCAGCCTTTCCCCTTGTGACAGGAAGCCAGAATAAAGAGGCTGGAGATGGAAAGAGATACTGAGAGAGACAGTCCTGTCTTTCTGTTTGTTCTTGTTTATACATTATGGCCACACAATGGAAAATGAGACCTTTGATTTGATTTAATTGATTTTTACTGACATCTGAGCATCTCTAGCCACTGAATTACCATAGTACTGGCTTAGTTTGAATTGTCTGGAAATTGTGTGGTAGGATTCTCACTGCTTAAGAGATGCACGCTACATTAAAACATTGTCCTTATGGAGTTACTGTTGATTTATGGCATTAATATGTATAAACTGAAGACATTTCATCCTGTCTTTAATATCTGTATTAATGATGTCTTCTATGAAAATCCAGCCTACCCAAACGACCACCGGATCTCCTGGGAGAAAGCCTCCCTCTGCCCGTTTAGTTTCTTGTAAAGAGGTGAAGTTGTCTACACAGCACTGTCTGATCACGAGTGTCATAGTTATCTCTCTGTATTATAGTTACTGTATGTCAAGTAAAAAAAGTCAATTTCTAAAGGTAGCAAAAACAAATTTAGGTGACGGCTTCTGATGATTATGTTTCTACTGTGGGGGGCATGGTGGTCCAGTGGTTAGCATTATTGCCATGCAGTGCTGGGGCCCTGGGTTCGACTCCTGGAGTGCTACCTGGGCGGAGTTTGGATGTTCTTCCTGTATTCACCTGGGTTTCCCACAGTGCAGAAACATACTGCTAGGTTAATTGGCTTCTTCGTTAATAGGCCCCGATGTGAGTGTGTGTTAGCCCTACAACAGACAGCTTTCCAACCAGGGTGTGTTGTGTGTGCCTGTTGCTTGCTGATATAGGCTCAGGCTCCCATGCATGGGGAAAAAGCAGTAAGAGCAGTTAGAAAATGAATGGATATCTGGACTATTTTATAAATGTTTACTTGTGCACTGTAAGCCACACTCACCTTGAGCAAGAGTGATGTTCCTTTCCCAGTATCTGGCATACAGAGTTACTTTAAATGCACTACAGTAGGATGAGCACTTGTTATAACACAATCACATCACCCTTAAGCACATTCAGTGGATAATGATATTGCCTGAACATGGTGATTTTGTTTTTTACCAAGCTCTTTCTCTTAACTGCCCCATCTGATAACAGTATCATAACTGAAATCTTGAAGGTCCACCCTTCTTAATTCCTCTGCAGTTTAGTTGAAAAAGGTCCCCTGAGAACAATCTTGTTTTCAAATGCAATTACGTCCTCAACATCTACTGTTGGTGTACAAAGTGTACTCTTTTTTCACATTTGATTTAATTGACCCTTGAAATGTTTCCACAGCACATTTGACTTATTTATCAATTCTTTTTCAGTTGTTTACGAACACAGGTCAAGATTGGAAAAGTCCTTGCAGAAAGAGAGACTTGAACACAAGAAGGCTAAAGAAGGTAAGTTTGGTTCAGTAGTATCACCCTAAGGAGATTTAATTAGCCATAAACTGAATAGAGGAAACAGTTCATTCGAATGCGGTATTGTACATCTCCTCTTAAGTAATGAGAATTTCACTTTTTGGGGGGGAAAGGATAATTGATTCTGCTTGTTTATTTTTTTCTCTGCTTTTGTTACAAATTTTAAATACAAAATCTTGTACTTAATGCTCCAGAGGTTTTTTCCTGATGAATCAAATGAGACTTGTTATGTTTCACAGGAAGTTCTTATCAGAGTCATTTTCCTTTAGTGCTTGCTAATCTTTGTAATGGTTTTGCAGATTACCTTGTGTACAAGCTGGAAGCACAACAGACACTAACTAAAGAAAAAGTAAGTCATGTCTTGAGATCTGCTGGTAACCACCCTCTGTGCAGGGAGATTTTAAACATTAAAGTTGTCAGTGTGGAATGCAATTGTGCATCTTCAGCAGTCTGCACCAGTTATTAACTGAAACACATTTTACATCCAAGACTAATTTGACAGTTTCTGAATTCTTTTCAAATATGGAATTACAAGGAGATACTGTCAAGCAAGCAGGAGGTAGAAAAAAAGTTATGTGTATCCTCAGAGTCAGGGTTACATAATCAATGTGAGGAAGTTTTCCCTCAAAAACGTTTCACGAGAATAATTTCCCCTGAGCCAAAAGCAGTATTGCAATATTGTGTGTTTTTTCTGTTTTTCTTGAGAAACTTCTGTAATTGTTTTGAACTCATCCATTTGACCTCCCCCACGAAGATAACACATCCATTCATTGATAACATCTCCATATTTGAAAAAGGACCGAAAATACTTGTGCTTTGTAATATTTGTGCATGTGCAAATCCATAATTATTGCATCATTTACTCTGTGCAAGAATATACATTTGCGATAACAAAAAGTGCCTTTTTTAATATGAGATTTTTTTGTTTTCTTTTCTCTCAACATAGCACTGTATGTCGACATGTAGTAAATTCAAAAGGAAAACTCCGGAAGAAACATTACTATCTTTTGAAACATAAGAGAGACAAACTTATGAATACTTAAAATACATGAAAGAATTAAAGCAGTCTCCAGCTCATCAAAAAAATCCCTTTCAAAACCAAAGTGCAGTGCTTGGACCTAATTCCTTTTAAGACAGTTATTGCTTAAGGCGCAATAGGAACGCTCTGTGCTGTGTGAACTTCAGTATCCCACGCGCTCCTTAGTGCTGTTAAACAACACACCCTTTCAAGCACTCTTCAGTCATTTTTTATATCTTATGAAGTGCTTTTTTAAAAAGTCCTAGTTTGGAAACTGGTGGAAAAATCTTAGTGAGAACAGTTTTTGCAGGTGCAGCTTTTTGACAAGAGAGAAACATTGCCAGTGGTGCTGGTTGTCAGGCATTAAAGATATTTTGCTCTTTTGATTAAATGTGAAGGGAAAATGACCTACATATATCAGCAATGGCTGGCCAGACAAACAGCAGTGATCAAGGGCCCTAGAAGCCAAGGATATTAACTGCCTGAAATGTGCATTCATTAGCAAAAGAAACCTGGCTGTGTTTTGGGATCATTTAGAAGGGCTGTATTTTTTGTCAGTGACTAAATTACATTGAAGATGGAATGCCACTACTTAATCAATAACTGTCTCCTTTCAACAGTTCGTGGGAGCATGGAGTTTAAATTATGTTGTTGCTTTCTGCTTCTCAGGTTTATTTTGTGTCCATTAATATGCATGAAAAATGTTCAATTTCACAATAGATCTGAGAGCATGCTGTTCAATTATTAATGAGGTTTTGATTTTGTATTTGTTTTATTTTTGTTCTAAAAGCAAGATGCCAACAACAGGATTAACTCCTTGAATATGCAACACCAAATGCTAAAGGTGAGTAAATAACCGATGGGAATAAATCAAAAAGGAAAATCCATGTGGCATCAGTTTGAATTCTATGCACAATTTTGGCCTTTCTCCCCACTGTTTATTTTTTTGTATATAAATACAAATGTATTTTTATTTAGTATATATTTATGAAGGGCAGCAGAGTGGCACAGTGGTTGACATTGCCGCTTTGTAGCGTTGAGGCCTTTGTAGCATGTATGGTTCAGTTCTAGACCTAGGGTGCTATATGTGTGGAGTTTGCATGTTCTCCCCAGGTTTGCATGGGCTTCCTCCAGGTGCTCTGGTTTCCACCCACAGTCCAAAGACATAGTGGTGGGTTAGTTGGCCTCTGATGAAACCGGTCCTGGTGTGAGAGTGTGCCTGCCTGGGTCTGGATGTGCCCGGCTATGGGCTGGCGTCCCATCCAGGTTGTATCCTGCCTTCTTCTCGTTATCCGCGGTGATAGGCTCTGACTGGCCCGCTGCCCTGTCCTGGCTGAAGTGATTAGAACATGGAGGAATGGATGGATATATTCATTCAAGTTTTAAAAAAAAAATGAAACCTCCTGCTGGTTTTGAAGAATGTATTATTTTCTCCGAGAGGTATTTTCAACAGATTTCGTGTCAGGTGTGCTTGATGTCTCATGCATTGGGGATCCTGCTCTTGCTGGATGTGAAATGTTCTTCTGTTTAAACTGCTAGCTGACTGCTCCCCCAGTGCGCCTCAGTTCACAAGACCGTGTATTAATGCGAGTTCTACAGTACCTGAAGCTGTCTTGCAGCTCCAGACTGGTGTGATTTATGGCCCACTGCAGGCAGTCCTCTGTGTTTTGTTCTTCACATTACTACCACAGTATTTTGAGTCAACAAACAAACAGTAGGACTCTTTTGTCTAAGTGTTTGGATAAAAATATTCTATTATGTTTAAAATAAAGGGTATGTCTTAGCACAGCTGCTTAATTCCTTCAAGTTCATCTTATTCCCACTAGCTGTTTTACAGCTCCCTGAATGCCTTTTGAGGACATTTTGCAGGATATCTTTGCTGAAAATGAGGAAAAACGTATTTTTCTTACAAGGAGTGTGAATGTACTATGTCTTTTAAATAAGGATGCGCTTCCTTTTAGTCACTCAAGATTTCAAGAAACTTGCTGACCGAAAAATTGCGATTGTCACGGTCTAAAATACAAAATCCATAGAGCAAGCGTACATGGTTACGTGTTCTACACTTCGGTCTGTAGCAGCTTCCTTGTTCAGTAACAGCAGCACAGCCATGTGTGTGTTTGCACACTTCTATGACAGACCCTTACTCTGGTCTTCCTCAGCAGTCTTCACACATGGAAACTCCACCATGCACGCCCAAGCCATTGGTTTGTTTTCCAGGTAACAAACCAGCAATTGCTAGCTCCACGAACACCATTTATATACATGCTTAATTAAATAATCCTAAATAAATCCATGTGAGTTGAGTTGAGGTGTGCACAAACACCCTTCATCAATAATCTAATCAATTAAGGGATTATCATCCAGCCTATTTACAATAAATAATAATAACAACAAATAAAGCCTATAATCCATATAACACTTTGGTGCCCTCTAGCGGCTAGTTGTCTAGTTGCAGCCCCTTCTTAGCCCAGCCAGTTATAGCTTGGTTTTGAAAGTGCTTCAGTGTTCCTTAACAAGACAAGATCACTTTTTGGGCCATATACAGTTTCTTGCAGTAGGAATTTGTCTTTGCACATACCCCAGCTTGCTCTCCATGAGACACACAGGCACACAGATGGGGAGAGGGAAGCTGGGGGTCAGAGCGCAGGGTCAGCCCTGGAGCAGTTGGGGTTAAAGGCCTTGCTCAGGGGTCCAATGGAGGGGCCGCAGGATTTGAACCAGCAACCTTCCAACCACAGGTGCAGATCCTTAGCCACAGAACCACTGCTCTGCCCAAATAAGCTGATTGGACCCAGTTCAGAAACTAACCCTCATTATTTTATGACTGGCAGTGGCTTTTCATACCACTTTTGGGAGTTTATATCAAGGCCATATTAACTTGAAAGTTAAGGTGTGTCCTGAGCTGTTCTTGCATTCTCTTAAAAATGCTCCCCAATGCTCTTTATTTATAGCTGGTAACATTGTGATTGGGATTCCAGTCATTGATTTGATCACGGTGCAACATTGCTTCTTCAGAACCAGCATGATGACCTGAAGAAACAGTTCTATGATCTTCAAGAACAGCACCAGCTCCTGGGAGATGATCACAACAAAGCACTGAGTGATCACAAACAGACATACGATCATCTGCAGCAGATGAAGGAGATGGAGATCTCTAAACTAAAAGGTACCTGCATTAGCTGTTTTGATGTTTTAAGAGCGAAGGTCTTCCAGGAAATTTGAGTTCTTTCTTGTGCCGATAGTTCAAAAACCCAGTCACACTTTTGGCAGTGCCTGCTGTGGACTATTGAAAAGCATTTAAAGTCCCACAAATCATGAAAACAATTTTTTCCTACCATATGTGCAATATTTTTTGGTAATAAATGTGTCAGAGTTGATATATTTGAGAAAACAAGAGCTGTGACTAGAAATGGGATGCTGTATTTCTTGGTCACTTTTATAAAGAAAAACAGAATTTAATTGCACATTTTGGATGGTAAAGATGCTTCAGTGTAATTGCTTTTAATGGGGCTTAAACACTAAAAACTGTCCCTCACCTGCTTTCATATTGTGCCTAAATAGTACTGTGTGTATAGCAGAATGCGCGTCGCATGCAATGTACATGTCTAAATCTCTTCTTTTCAGACAGTGGCTAGGAACACCTTTATTCAATGAGTAACTTTAGATATTATTTTTCAGGACGCAACTAATTTTTTGTAGTAGTACAAGTACAACAGGAAAGGATATGAAGAGGCAATTAATAATATTGAGATAAATCGTATTGAGTCCAATACTATGTTGTGTTTTAATGCCTTTTAGCGCAGTATGTATTAGTATGAGAAATATCAATACATTAAAACTTAAAAGTACTAAATACTTCTAATTAAATTAAATGCTAACCTTTGTGAGTGTTCTTAAACTCTTTGTACATTATTACAAAATTATATCAATTAACAGTATGAAGGGTGCTTATTTCCACAATATACTTATTTATGCTATTAGCCCTGCGTGAACACCGTGTTCTTCCCGTTTGTCAGCGTTAGCTGGTGAATACCGCCATCTGTTGGCTATACATAGGAATTATCTTCATAACAACATGCCAACAAGCCCTCTGGGGGTTCTTGTAGGATTTAGACAAAAAAAAAAGTAAATAAACTTATTGGATCTAATATATGTGAATAAAATATTGAAATATTGTCATAAATCAGCTAACCTCGACCAACCCACAGGAAAGTAAAGCCCATTTCTCATAGTTTAACTTAAATCGGAGAGGAGACTATTTAGAAAATGCAAATTTACCTGCTTTCCCCTGGCAGAGAACATCTATAACCTGCGTGAAGAGAACAAGCAACTGAGAAAAGCTCACCAGGATGTTCATATGCAGCTCCTGGATGTCAGGGTAAGCCGTCATGGGAGTTTGTCTTGAGAGGCTACTACTACTGTGAAGGTTTAAAAACTACAGTCAAGCTACAGTCTGCGTCATGTGTCCTACTTTGTCAATAGCTTCTGTTTTGGAATTGGGTATTTTGGTTTATTGTACAGTGTATATATGTATATACATCATATATAATAAATGTTGAATCTTGAATTTGTGTTGCTATTCATGGGTAGCGCGATGTTTTAAAAAGGAATCGAAAGATTTGGTATTTAATAACTGTCAGTTTGTTCTCCCATTCCCGAGAGTTGTCTGATGTTTCTGATGTTAATTTGTTAAAATAACAGCGGAAGTTGTTTTTTTTTATTTGAGGGTAACATCAAATTTTTAGTTTTGTAAATATAAGCACTAAATTGGAGAAGAACTAAGACAAATGCTTACAAAAATGTATAGTTGCTTACAGTCAGCGCTTGGTGTGTAAAGTTATATTCCTTTAATACAGCAACAGCACAAGGATTTAAAGTCGGCACACGACCAACTTGCAATGACTCTAGAAGACCACAAGAGTGCGCTGGCTGCTGCACAGGTCTGGGAGAGATTGCTTTGTTCTCTGCGTTGAGCAGCTCTTGATCGCGTGTCTTTTTTGCATGCTGCATCTTGGTGCCCAAAATCTGCACAGAAAATAATCTTTTCCAGATGTATGCATTTGAATATAAGTTAATTGAAAACTGAATTGTTTTTCTCAGCTTACTAACCTCTGTCTCAATCTTTTTTCGGTACTGCCTTATCGGTACTACCGCAGATAGGAGTCACATTTTCTGCACTGTTTTGCAGGTTTTAATAATTGCAAGAGAAAAGTATTTTCTTACTTTTTTTTTAAGTAAAGATTTTGTCTGAATTTTGCATATTTTTAAAACGGGGAAAAACCATGTCTTTTTCCTACAGAATCACTGAAACATACAGTATCTCTACCAATTTATTTTTAATTCTTCTAAGATTGTATGCCTTGCACTGCAGACTTAAATGACCACATCCTACAGACCATCTCTCTAGCAGAGCCTGGAGCTCAGATCCTTATAGGTTCCCCCAGGTCTAATGAGCACAATTGTATTTTGTTCTCTGTTGGCAGTTCCGTTCTCCAAGGGTGCATGCATTTATCCCCTGAGGATCGCGATGTTGCCTTGCTGTGTGTCCCCGCTGCTGAAGACCTCTACTAACTTTCTCACTAATTCTGACTGTTTTCTGCATGTTTGCATTTCACTATGCAAGTTCTTTTTTCTTTTCCTCCTTTTCTGTAATTTTAGACCACCGTTTTCATTTAGGAGAACAAGTAATGAGTCCAAGAGCAGTTGAAAGTTCCTGCATTGTTTTCAGCCTGCTGTTTCATGCAGCTGTTATTATGCAGGAAGTGTGTGGAAATTCAGTTCGAATTAACTCAGATGTCTGCAACCTCCTGTGGTTATTGTAACACTGTTAGTTACTCAGTTTAATGCTGTGCATTAAAAAAATAACACATGTTTTAATGTTCCTAATCAAAGGACACTTCATCTATGTGGTCTTAGTTGTGCTCACAGGCAAAACCTGTGGCTGAAAGCATTAATATATATAAATCTTATCAATCTTGAATAAATTTATAATTTATTTCTAAGGTTCCCTAGATATACGCGGACAGTCGTGAAAACATTACACTGTGAGAGCACTCTGGAAGAGGCACTTGCGTGTTAATGTAGTTTCAGGGTGGGTTATTTTCCCTCTGCACCTTATGAGCAGTGAGTCAGAATGTTAAGGATTCCTGATACAGAGCATGTTTCTCTTCTACATGCTATTTTTAATACTTGAAATATAATACAAGAGATGTATTTCATGTACTTGGAGACTGCAGCCTTACCCCCATCCTATTGATATATTTATTTTAAAAATCTTAACTGGTTTTAGAATGAGCAAGTGCTTTGTTTACAAAATGTATTACTATAGTAAAACCCATTTTTGCCTCTAAGGCAAGTCTCTGCCTTAAATGATTAGAATATTAACTTCAGTGCTGCTTTGTCCATCTGAGTTTTTCAAATTTGGGATACGGTACTTCTGGTAAGCAGGGATTTTCTAAAGTTCATGAATGTGGCTGTACAGTTCGGACCCTAAGCTGTCCAAACTGGACGTGGCAAAAAGTACAAGAAGAGAACAGCAGAAGGAAGCTGATCAAATACAGTATTTCTGTTTCTATCGAAGGTCCAAGTGGAAGAATTTAAGCAGCTCAAAGATACCCTTAATAAAATACCCAGTTTCAGACAAACGGGGTACAACAAGACACCTGCGCCCCAGGCAGTGCAAGCAAGGCAGGAGCTACAGGGGACCACCCCTGAGCACCAGGCTGGCCCCGAGGAGCACCCAGAAGCCAAAGAACAGAGCCGTGACCAGGTACGAGGGGCCACCCTCAGTTTCATAGCTGTGGGAGAGATGAAGAAAAAGAAGGAGCTCTTTCAAGCACTTCGAGTATACTCCCTGAACGTGTATCCATTTGCATACTCGCAGTCATGGTGGTGCAAACAAATTTCAAGGAGATGATTGTTTAAAAAAAAAAACTGGATACTTTTTACTAGCAGAGTTTCATGGTAGACTGCAAATATTGGTGTACGTCTTTGTTCGTTAACGGAGAGAGTGAGCAATGTGCTTTCTTTCTCTCATACACCTGTGGGCGTGTGGAATCAGTTGCGTTCTTCAGACTGACTTCCTGTTGTTGAATCATTTTAAACAACAGTTTACCTGTGGAAAAATCCCTTACCTTTCATTCCACCCATTTGTTATGGTGTTGTATGGTATTTTTTATCACCCTGATACAATTCAGGACTCATCGATATGGTAAAGATCTGACATAAGGAATAAGAAGGATATTTGTTTCACTTTAAACAGATTCAGCATGTTGTGTTTCTTTGTTTTATACATATCCAGTCTTACATGCAGCACATAGTGAGGGCTCCAGGGGCTGACCACACGGCTGGGCTCCATGAGGCTGAAAGAAAGAGTAGGAAGGAAAGCGCGTTACAAGCTGGGGAGGTTTTGAGCCACGTGAGGGGGTGTTTATGAACTGGTGCCTCTGCAAAGATCTTCGCAACAACAAAATAAAAACAGAGCTTCCTATTTAAGGGCCCCAATTAGACTTTTGCTAGTATCTCTCTACTGGGTTGGGGAGATAGTGTGCCTTTGACACACAAAACTCAACTATTTCAGTTGAAATCATACAAAATAATTCCTATTTCCAAGTAGGTCTGGAGCTGTTTTACCAGTCTCTTTACTGCATCTGTGAGTCTGAAATGAAGACGTAGTCCCTGTGACCTCTTTCTTCAGGCTTTCAGTTTTATTGTTCTGGCCTCTCTATAGCTATACCTCTCTTTTTATCTCTTCTGTGGCATTTACCCCTCATTGCGGTGTCAGCTGGGGGCAGTGGAAATTGTGGGATCTGTAGTTTTTTCTGTAGCATTTTTCTGCCCACTTTATTGGCCATATACGATTTCCGGCATTAAGAATTTGTCTTTTTCACATACCCCAGCTTGCTCTCCATGAGACACACAGATGGAGAGAGAAGCTGGGGGTCAGAGCGCAGGCTCAGCCATTTATGTGGCGCCCCTGGAGCAGCTGGGGTTAAGGGCCTTGCTCAGGGGCCCCACGGAGTAGGATTCCTCTGCCGGCCGCGGGATTCAACCAGCAACCTTCCAGCCACAGGTGCAGATCCTTAGCCAGAGAGCCACCACACCGCGGTGCGGTTCTTTTTACTCTTCGAATGTGTTTGTCACATGACTGCAGTCAGCAAGGCCGAGATTTCACTTCCTGCTCGTGTCTCACTTTCGTCCTCTTAGCCCGAGAATCCCGCTGAGGAGCGCGAGGCCCCAGAAGAGCCGACGGAGCGGCACCGCGGCCCTGAGAGAGCGGGAGACCACGAGGAGGAGCCCGAGCCCGGGCAGGAGGAAGAGAGACGGAGGGAGCTGGCGGAGGAGGAGATGGAGCAGGCCGGGCAGCCGCAGCGCTTGGCAGAGGATATGGAGCAGCCGCAGGAGGATGAGGAGAGGGGGCAGGAGGAGGAAGAGAAGAAGCCCGAGCCCTGGCAGCATCGGCAGGAGCGCCCACAGGTGCCGCAGGACGACAACGCGCTGGCCCGGGACCAGGAAGAAACGCAGACCCACACGGTACTTTCTCTGAGAGCCCTTTCTCATTTTTTTTAAGGCGTGGACAAAATAAAATTATTTTTTTCTCACTTCTCAAGTGTCATCACATTCTTAATTTCCCGGAATATGGATGACAACAGAAGCAAAAAAGCCGCCTTATTCTGCCCGCGATCCCTAGAGCAACATAAACCTGCTGTCAATTCAGAAAAAATAGTCAGCTGTAGTGTAAATTTATAACACTCTTCGTTTAGGTCGTCTTTTATAGGGAAATGAATGAGGCTCAGAATCACTACCGAAAGAACAGATCATTGAAAAAGGCAGCGACCCCCCCCTTGTAAAGTAAAGCACCCCACTGTGTTGGAGTGACCTGAGCTGAGCTCTGCCCCGGTCACCCGAGCTCCCTGTGCCCCCGACAGCCCCCGCAGGCCCCGCAGCGCGTGAAGTCCCCCTACGAGGAGCAGCTGGAGCAGCAGCAGCTGGCGGCCCAGCGCGCGGAGGAGGCCCGCAGGCTGAGGGCGCAGCAGGACGCCCTGCAGCAGCAGAGGCTGAAGGAGCACCTGGAGCGGCAGCAGAGGGAGAGGGAGAGGGAGCTGCAGCTGCAGAGGGAGGCCGACCGCAGAGAGGAGCTCCTGAGAGAGCAGCAGCGCAGGTCAGCTCGGCCACGGGACCCGCTTTAATAAGCGTCAGAACTCCTCGCACCTGGTTAGATCTTTTCTGGACACTCCACTCGAAGCTCTTGACAGGTAATGGGGACTCCCCTCCACCACCACCAGTGGGCAGCCCCACTTGGATGATGCGATGGCAGCCATAGTGCACCAGTACGCTCCCCACACACCAGCTCTCAGTGGGGAGGAGAGCAGAGTGATGAAGCCAATTCACAGATGGGGATCATTAGGAGGCCAGGATTGGTAAAGGCCAATGGGAAATCTGGATAGGACACCAGGGTAACACCCCTACTCTTTTCAAGAAAAATCCTGGGCCTTTTAAGGGAGATTCTTCATGCGAAGAGGTCTGGCAATGACTCTTGTGCCCACTTGGGAGGGTCATGTAGATGTGTTTCTCTGTAGAGCCATTCTTCCCTAGCACCTAAACGCGTTGGACGGGCCCAATGGCCTGCTCTGATCTTGATGCTTTCTCCTGTGCTCATGTTCTTGGAGAAACAGTTTGCAGGGTTTACTGTTCCCAGCATGCCGAGAGAGCCGTGGATGACTAATCCCGAACTGACACTGGCAGCCACTCCATGTGTCCTGGTCATGGAGGGATTGTGCTGTGAGCTGGGCTGGATTCTGAGGTGTTGGAGATCAACCTCTGATCTGAGTGAGAGCGTATACAGGTTCGGCCATCATGGAGCCCAGACCATACTTTCTAAAAAGATCCTACCGTGATGAAAGTTGTGACCTTAACACAGAGAGAATAGTGCGAGCAAAACATACAAACCTCAAAACAGATCAGATAACCTGACCATTGTAGATCACGCACTGCTGGTGTAGGAGGCCGATTCCTACATCGCTGATGTGAAAAGTGAGAAGGAGCACTTGGCAATTAAAATCCTGTCACGGCAGTTTCCCGGGCCTCTTCCGTGGGATTAATGTTGCACGTCTCCATTTTGCAATGCATTTTTTCAGACAGAAGAGCCAGTATGAAAACATAGATGCAGACATCGTGCAAGGAGAGGCGGAGCAGCAAAACGGGGAGCACGGAGGTGGGTGCAGGCCAGTTTTCGAGCCATCCTTAGAAATCTCTTTAACGAGTAGGGCTTTTGGCACGCCGTGAGTCACACAATCCTGCTTCTACCACATAGATGCTCTGCATTTAACGGAGTGTTTTTGTTAATGCAGAGGTGAACAAACAAACCGAAAAGGAGGACGAGGAGAAGCACGGCAAAGGCGATCGCGTCCAGGAAGAGGTGAAGATCTCTCTGTTGTAAAGGGCTTCCACCAGGTTCCCATTGCCTTTGTTAGGGTCTCAAAGCTCTGCATGAAACTGCATGGATTGATGTGAATCTACTCAGAAATGTGTATTCCGCACAGCCATATCAGACATTGGCAATATCTTACTGCTTCGGGTTATAAAGGACTGAATTCCTCTGGGCAGCCAGATGCTCTTCATTAGTTTTTGTTGGAAATGAATTGGAATATGATACCGTACTTAGTATTGAGATGTAAGGCTTTAGCGGTTGTAAAATAATTCTGAATTTGCATTCAGATATAAGTGAATTAAGTCAAACAGCCCTGTAATCACATTGTAAGTACCACTACATTTTGCTTTGTGAAATGATTAAGATACAGTAAAGCTCAGTATCTGCTGTTAAATGCATTTGCATGTGTGAAATGAATTGTCAGAGATTTAGAATGATTCTTTTGTAACATTAAAAAGACATATTTCCTCTTTCCAGTATTTTAATTGGAACTGGGAAGGCTCTACGTGACATTGCCCTTACATTGGTACTGTTCGTAATATCTCTTCACCCTTTCCCATTTAATTTCCATCATCTTCACTTCATTAAAATCTATTTAATCGTGGAGCAGAGAGAAATGTATCGCTTCTTAGGGAAGATACTGCACCTTTTATTTTTGTTTTTTTAAAGTTCATTCAAAGGATCTTTTTTTATTTTTGCATGAGAGAAATGACAAAAAATAAACGATGCATTGCCCTGTTTGTCTTCAATGGTGTCGTACCATGGCTTATTTGGGAGGTGAAGGCTTTACTTTTGAGAGTAATCCGTTGCTCTCTCTCTGTATCTGGAAGCCTGCAGAGGACATGAACCCAGAGGATGATCCGAACAACCAGGGCGAGGACGAGTTCGAGGAGGCGGAGGAGCGGCAGGAGAACGTTCCAGAAGGGAACGGCGAACGCCGGGAAGTGGAGAGGAGGGTCAGGCCAGAGATGGGCGAGCAGCTGGTGGTAAGAACTGTTCTTCCGAGCGCTCGGCCATCACTATAGAGCACAGATGGAAGACACGCTGAGGGAGCACCGTTCCCATTGAGGAAAACCTAAGTGGAAACAGAGTACTTGTCAAAACGTTCTTCCATGGAAATGATTGTTGATCTGTTTCTGTGAGATCACATTTAAAAAAAAAAATGGGTTCCACCCCCGAGGCACAAACTAACCTTTTGATTAAACCAGAATCCAGGAAGCACACGGGGGTTTGGGAAGCGAGGGTCCATCAAAGCGGGCGTTGAGCCGGCGTGTCTGTGCTCTTTGTGCAGTTGGCAGGGAACCCGGATCAGCAGGAGGATAATCTGGATGAGCAGTACCAGGAGGAGGGGGAGGAGGAGGTAGGAGAAACGGGGGACTGGGGAGGAGGTTTATCCCTGGTCCTGTGACACAGTGGGCTTCGAGCTGCTGTGGAGCCAAGATAACTGATTCCTTCATTATTAAGATGTTACCCACACACTCTGATCAGTTTTGTCCCAGGCATTGTGTTTTACATGGCTGTCAATCAGACGCCTTGAGGGATTCTTGTAGCTCACGAACAGGTTAAAACTTTTCCTCTCGGCATTAAATGACTTTTGCTGTTAAAAATCGTAAGGTTGGAACTGAGCTACTTTTTCTGTTGTTTTCTGAAAACTGTTTGATTTCCTCTAGAAATGTCACAAAGCCTTGAGGCTTTTTTCTTCTTCGCTGCAGCGGCTGACACCTCTCTGTGTTTCAGGTCCAGGATGATCTAGGTGGAGCCCCTAAAAGAGAGGAAGAGGAGAACGAGGATGGCCCCTACAATGAAGAGAATGAGGAACACGTAAGTCCACAACCACTGTTTTTAAATATTGGTTAAATAAATCCAGGTGTTGGGCACAAGCAGTAACAGTTGGGTTAGATCACGTCAAATAGTTTGCTAAGGGTTTGGAGAACCCTTTAATGAATTGTAAGGTATGCTGTTGTGATATCACAGGTTTATACAGGTATTTGCAATTTTGAGAGTACAGTATTAAAGTCTTTCTTCCTATATTTTTATAGCGTTGTGATTCATGATGTCTTTCTGTACTTTGTGTTGTGTTTCTGTTCTTTGTGTACATCATGAAAACAGTTTTACCAATATTATTTGAAAATATATCCCACCTGAAGAGGTTTTGGACAATTGCTCATGGACAATATTCTATGCTGATTGTTCTACAAAGTAATTTAGCCAGGAGCCTTCCCTACAGGCTGGTCTAAGCAAATTGAAGTGATTATAAGAACAGTGTGCTTCTTATTTGGAAGCACTGCTATGGAACTATAAACTCATCTTCATGCCTCCCCTGATTGGCAGGATTGTTCAGTGAATAGCGGATCTGCTTCAGCTCATTTCACTGGATCAAATTACACCTGCTTGGTTCATGATTGACATTGAAAGGTAGCCCATAAAGGTGCAGTTATCCTCCGAACGTGATTAAATAGATCCCTTTCATCCATAGTGTATGCTGCTGAAATATGTACGTACCTCTTTCAGACATTACCAGAAAGAGCGACCACGCTAGTTTGGCAAAGCGGGATAATCCTTGTGCTTCCTCTGGATGCTCAAGCTGTGAGCCTGTTAAACCCATACAGGACAGTACTGTATTCATGTCATGAGTTACTGGTTTAAATAAGATGGGGCGCTTTTGCAATCCTGAGAAAGATTGCCCCACAGTTTATGAGAAAGAGCTAAGAAAAACATCCAGCAGAGGAGATGTAGAGAGTCACTATTTGTGCAGTACTTCGATGAAAGCAGAAAGGTTAGTTCCAATTAGCTTTTTGAAACATACAGTGTCATGGTCTACAAGAGCAGAACATTAATCGAGGCATTTTAGTGTTTGTATTGCCAGCATAGGATTATGCACTTAATGTCAGCTAACCACATTTCTTTTTGTCTGCATGGTTTGAAGGCATTACTGTGTAACTTTCCACAGATATAGCATTTGTCTCAGGAAGGGCTTTGAGGGCAATTTAACCAGTTGTGAGTAGGGGTCTGATACAACCCATACAAGACCCTAGGGCTGATCTGAAGAAGTGAATCGAAACAGCTGTTGCAACAGCACAGACCGCTATCTTTCTCCTGTTTTTATACACACTGTTGGGTCTGACCTACAGTGTCCCAGTGGTATGATCTGGTATAAATCAGGTATAAATCTCTGTTATTTATCCATCTGATATATATTTTTCCCAACATATTTAACCTGGGGAATGAATAACCAAAAATGAATATACTGTACGTACACCACCTGGTGCCATGGAAACAGGTAAGTGAAGTGTTCTCAGGACAAGTTAATGGCCTACATGAACAAATCGCAGTGGTTTTACACTGCAGGAGCAGTGGTTAGGGCTGTATAACCGGATGTCTGTGGGTTCTAGCCGTCCTTCGGAGGTCCTGACTCTCTGTGGTCATTACAAATCCCAGTGCATTTCTCAAAAAGAGTAGGGGTGTAACCCCGGCATCCGGGCTAAATTCCCCATTGTCCTTTACTAGTCATGGCCTCCTAATAATCCCCATCTATGAATTGGCTCCATCACTCTGTTCTCCTCCCCACTGAGAGCTGGTGTGTGGGGAGTGTACTGGTGGACTGAGGCTGCCGCCACATCATCCAGGTGGGGCTGCACATTGGTGGTGATGGAGGGGATCCCCATTACTTGTAAAGCGCTTTGAGTGGAGTGTCCAGAGAAGCACTATACAAGTGTGAGGAATTATTATTATTATTATTATTATTATTAATCCTGGGTGGGGTACTGCTGATGTACCCATGAGCAAGGTACTTCACTCAGAACTAGTGCTCTGGTTAGATGCCCAGCTGTGTAAATGGGTACACGGATACTTTGCATTGGACAAAAGCATCAACCAAATAACTGAGTAATAACAGGATGAAACCCAGCCTACCCTTCTGTTATTTCAAAACAGGGGGGTAGATTAGATTCTGCAACTCAGCTTCACCTCTTTATGTTTCTCAAGGCCCCAGAAGGTCCAGAGAAGGAGGACAAAGCTCCTGAGGAAGAGCAGCGCAAACCAGAGGCCGAAGAGGAGAATTACGAGGAAGAGGACGAGGAGGAGGAGGGAGAAGGGGGAGCACGCGAGGCTCACCCGCATCGGCGGGCGGAGATGTGAGGACACCCTTCGTCTGAAAACCGTTCCAGCTGCCGGTGAGGCAGCAGCCCACTGGAGGACTTTCCACACCTTTTTCTCCTTTGCTCCACAGCAGGAATACGAATACTCCGCGGTTACAGAAGAGGTGTGTATTTTGAATAATGGTTGAAATCTAGCAAGGGACAACAGAGGTACGCAAAGGAAAAAAATAAAAGAATATATACGAGTAGAAACTTGGAACAGTTGTGAAAGGCTCTGTGACAATTCTTTGGAAAGGGACGCTATACCAAATTCAGAATGAACTCAAGATAGTTTAAAAAAATTAGTTGAAGCTTATTTGGAATCAGAAAAGATCATTATTTTTAGCAGAATGCTTGAGTCCTGTAATCTTGCTCTTTTTTTAATTAAAAATTGTGTGTTTTATAAGACTTTTTTTAAACTGAAAACATTTATGTTTTAAATGATGCTTTATCTTACCCCTTAAATCCCTTATCCCTTAAACGCTATTATTCCAGTGACCTTCCAGTATCCGGCTATTTGTGTATCCCAGATTTACAGTAATTAGGTTCCCACCAACCATATTCAGCAAATCCCATCCTGCTGCACACACCTAATCTCGGTTCCAATTGTGTCCGAAAAATACTTCTCGATTTCAATAACATTTCTCCATGATCGCTCAGATATTACTTCCATGCTTTACATTGTATAATCCTGACAGGTTATTGAAACATTATATTTTTTCATTTGTTATGTTTTTAAATTGAGAGTCACCAATTTTATTGCCAAATATCTGCTTTTCACATCTTGGCTCACTGCTGTGAACACTGTAACCACGTGTAGGGGAGAACGAAGAAGTGCAGTCTCCTCTGGCTCCTCCCACCTTTAAGCTCCTCCTCTTTTAATGTGTCAGAGGCACCTGAGCCCCCTGCTGGAGGTTCAGGATATCTCTCGGCTGTAGCACTGCCCATATGTGAGCCTGTTGCTCTCTGCAGGGTTTGTGGCATTTAGCAGGGGCTGGGCTAGCCAACCCTCAGCACAAATCAGCCAATCACACGCCACCATCAGGGGACGTTTTTGGTCCCAGTCAGCTAGTGACCTGACTCAGACTCGAAACCGTGACACCTGGAACATAGAGCTCACTTGCACTGCACAGCCCCTGTTCCCGTTGAGCCACTCAGCAGGCCCTCTCACACCTGCTTCTTAGTGAACAGAAGAGCCAGCAAAAATTTCCCTTACAGGTGGAGTGCAATAGATGGATTGTTTTTTCCATTTTTATTTACAAAGGAGGCCAAAACTATTATAAGGTGTATGGTGGCAACACTTCAGGCAACGCATAGCATTTACACAAATGTGTTGCCTTGTGTTTGTTAATTTTCCAAAAAGTAAAGTATAGCATTGAATTAAACAGTCCAGGTGTTCTCTTGGGCAAAAGGAATGTCTATATTATCCAGCGCCATAGGAGTGTGAGTCAGGAATACTGGTAAACCTGTTTCCAAAGTGTAACATTATGGACGTACGGTATTTTGTTTTCTGTTCTACACTCTTTGGCTAACAAAAGAGCTAATGAAAGGAGTTTTTTTTTGTTTCCATCTGTAGGGGTATTCCTATTTGCTTCTGGTGACGGGTCTCAGGGAGGTCATGAATTTTATATTACGTTTGTGGATTTCCCTCTATTGTCACAAGTTATGAAAATACATATGTTTTGCGCCAGCCTTACTTACATTAGTTACTTAATGTACAGTAAGTCCATGACAACTAGTTTAGTCTAGGGCTGAAACTGTATCAGTAAGTTTGGGGAACGTGAATTTCTGGTCAAAGTAACTGGACTAAAAGTAGTTTTCTCTGAAAGTACAGGTATTGAGATTACTTGTGTCCTGCAGTGAGATCATTAAGGAACAGTACCTTAAGTCTGCACTGTAAAACACAGGAATGCCCTAATAAACAGTGTAGATATATTCTATGGGGGATTATAAACAGAACTGACAAACGGAGAATCAAATTAAATCTGTTTGGGCTTAAAGAACAAATACAAATACTGTTGAAAACGAATTTTGTCCCCACTTTTGGGTACTATTGTTTATATCATAATGAAGTATTTTGTGTGTGTGTTTTTTAAGTTTATGATTTTTTAATAGGAAACATTTTACACTGTATAATAGAAATTATACATCGTACATTCCGAGCAATTTCTAACCCCTTTATTTATTTTACAGCATTGTAATTCCAAGATAAATATCATTTCGCAATATTTTTGTATTTGTCCCCACTACTCCACAAAATCACATCTTTAATACGGTAAAATGTTGGAATAGATTGCTCATGTACCACTGTAATATATATTATATATAAATTTGTACATAATTTTTTTCAGAACCTGAAAAAGATGTTATATTTGGTTAAAGAATAATGCTTTGTAATGAAATGCTGCAACTTGTAACTTGAGATGAACTGAATACCAAATAAAGGTGGGTGGAGGGCGGCTGCAGGAGTTCTTTTCTTTCGACGAGAGACCGAACTCTCTTCTGACGCTTGGACTGCCAGGCTTGCCAGCAGAAAGAAAAGGTGTTTTTTTCTGTTTCCGGGGAAAGAAAACTGAATGCAGCCATTTTCCTTGCAGTAGAAGGGTGTGTCATTTTAAATGTCTTTCCTTCCCAGTCCAGGAACTGGGGGGGAAATGTTGCTTTACCACTAAGCTTGTAGTGAATTTGTGCTTCTTGTACAGGGAGACTGATTTGTAAACAACACTTGTTATATAATTTACCTTATCACCTGACAAAACACTGCATTTGGCAAGTACAGTTGTGTTGTCCTTGGGTAATATTCTACTGGAAGATCAACAGTATTTCAGCTGACATCAAATCCTCTATAGCAGCTGTACATAATGAGCATGAATTTTCAAAACAGGTCAGAACATACTTACCTTTCTAAAGTCTTTGAAGGTAAGTGACTACTTGATCTGACACCCCTCTTGGAAAACGTACGTTTAAATGAATAAACAGGAGGTTACTTTGATCTCACAACCTAATCTGTATGTCAGATATTGAGTATTTTGTTTTAAAAATCCAGATCTTGTAGTGAAATAAACAGGACACATCTTGTTTCATCACCTGCTTCAGTGGTGTCCTGCAGTATTTTACAACATTGTAAAAAAAAAAGTTTACATAAAAATGAAAGCCTTTATGACATGAAAATACGTACTTTTTAAATGTTTTGACACAACAGGGAAACCTGAGCACTGTATTAAAAAGTTCGTAACAAGTAAAATGATTAAGTTTACAAGAGTGAGTTTGAATGAAGCTTTTCTCATAAGGTATTTTTCTTTAGTATTGCAACTTCGGGCCCTACTTCATTTCCTTACTTTAAGACTAAAATAGTCCCTAATTTTTTCATCCAACTTTTCAATCCTGTGCCAGCAGGACATTATATTTTGCTTGTGAGCTCCTATGGGTCACTAGTATCCACTTGTGAGTTCCAATGGGTCACTAGTATGCAGTGAAACTGAAATCATGGGTGAGGCATATCTTCCTTCACCCTCATACTCAACCAGCAATGCTTCTGTACTAGTTCAGCATTCTTTCGATGTACTGTAGTTTTGCCTTTCTTCACATATGGTCAAACTTCCTTCCTGGAAAAGGAGTTTTGAGAGGACTGCATAGCATCATTGATCCTCTTGACATTCTGTACTAGCAGGAGGGAAGCCACTCAGATTATTGATGGTGTTAACACTGCTTCTCATTATCACCTCTCTGTTTTGCTCTCCTGAGTAATTGGGTTCTGTGCCAATCCCAGCAATAGTTGGCTGAAAAAGATGCCACCGTTTCTGCCGAGGTTAATGAATTTCTCAAATGCCAAGTCAGTTGCTGAACTCCCCCTCCTCCCTTCCACCTGATCCCCAGGAAAAAGAAAGTCAAGTAGTACTGGTGAGTACCCACTCCAGGGTAGCTTGTTTCTCGAGGTTATTTGTGAGGTTAGGAAGAAATTAAAATGTTAAAAAAACCTTCATGTTTGGAATATACTGTAGTAAATGAAAGGGATAACTTTAATCATCTGTCTCTCATTCTTTGTGTGATTCTTGTCTTAGAAGTTTCACATGAAATGTTTTAGACCTTTCAGCTGGGAAGATGAGAACCGGTGACCTTCTTCACCTTTGGTATGACATGATATTGTTTCTGATGAGGCTGAGACCACCCTCTTGTCATTAATGAACGGTCAGCATGCGCTCTACTGACGTTTCCAGAATAGCTGCTGGTTTAACAATCAGACTAGAATCCCTTTTGCCAAACAAGAAAATGAATTCTTCCGAGTTAAGGTTCTCTCAATTGAGATTCTTATTTGTTTCCAGAATATGGATTTGTCTATCCTCTGCAGTTCCTTTTCTGAAGATAATGTATTACCCTTTAAAATATGGAATAATGTATTGTCTGGTACTTTATTTCAACTTACAAGATGAAATGGTGATTCACACTGTGTGTGGTCTTTAAATGAAGCAGACATTTGCCATCTTACTGATGTAATTATTCAGTACATTTCTACACATTTAAGAAAAATTAAAAAGCAAAAAAAAATACACGGATATATTGTCATATATTGGGTTTATTAATTGGAAATGTTAACCAGTGAAATTGCAAAAAAACCTAAAAAAACTAAGTGCAATTTAATTAATTTAGGTTTTGTCTACCAAGTTAAATTTAGAAATGCAATTGATGTTTCTTCCATAACAAAATTATGTTTTTACATTACAGACATTATCACTGGGTAAAGTCACACACACATACAAGGCATGTGCAAATAATGAAAGATATCAGTTTTCTGACTGCAGTAAAATATAATTAAAAATTACATTAACTTCTTTTATTTAAAGGAAATTTATAATTTCTAAGTGAAAAATTAAAAAAAAGTTTAAGAAAAGGTTTAAATTGGGGGGGGGGGATTGTTGTTCAGTTTACTGCATTTACTCCTAGTCATTTGCATTTTATTGGTACTCTCGTATTAAGCAGTATTCTTGAAAATTACATCTCCTTGGCTATAATTAATTATAAGCTTAAACAAATAGCTGTTGTTTTGTCCAATTTCTTCTGTTTTCCATTTATTGATGGGCAAATTATTGCTGAAACTTGATAATTAGGAATTCGTCTGGCTGGAAGGAAAAAAAAAAGAATCTACTTGAATCATTAGCGACCTGACCTGCTAGATGGACTGAATATCCATACCTGAAGAAAATCCTACAGCTGAAATGTGTTTTTCCTTCTAGTATTCACACTATGAAATGGACATCTGCTTGTTCCTTTGCTGTCATGCTTTTGATGCTTCTCACCTGAACGGTATTAGGAATGAGCCAGATACACATCGTCTCTCCAGACATTTTGTATAATTAAGCCATGCAATTAGTGATCTGAATTTGCAGTACTCTGAGTAAAGGAGGAGGAAAGGTAGCTAACCTTTTAATTACAGGACACCTACTGATTTTTTAAACTTAACTCAGTGTCTCCTGGAATTAATAAGCAAAATGACCTACTTTCCAATTTATTTTTCTCATTTTATTTCTGCTGTTACCTTAGCTTTGAAGCTTATGTAGCAATTCATTCAATAGTATGCAATAATTTTTGAAACCCTGAACTCCATCTACATACTGTATAGATGATATTTATTCACATTATAGTGTTCTTCTTTATTCTTCAGGGTTATGATTCTTGAGCATGTTTCTGTATAATTGTAGGAGTCATGTTAATTGAATGAATAAGCTGCTGGTTAGGGTTAGGGTTAGACTCAAGAGTTTAGGATTGATTTTAATTAGGAAATGGGATCATTAAAAAGATACCAACAATGGGTCTAAAGGTTGAAAAGAGTCACACAGTTCAAATTAATGCTCTTATGAAGTCAATTACAAATTTACCGTTACTACCAACTTGTCTGGAACAAAGACCGACAGGTTTTCAGGGTCTCTAGGACCAGGATCTCCTGCTGTATGGGATGCCAGCCCTTCGCTGGGAATACCCAAACACACCCAAAGACACCAGGTAACCTGGACAGCATGTCGATGAAGTGGGTGGAAACCACAGCACCTACATTTTCAAGACAGGTCTTGATGAAGTGCTGAAAGCTGGCAAGACAGTTCCATTTCCAGGTGTATAACATTCTGTGTCCTCTGGGTATACTTTCAAAACAGCTTTTGTCATGAAAGCACTAAGCAGCCAGCTACAGCACATGTCTGCCAAAAACTCCCAAAGATCCCCAAAATAGAGGTTGCTAAACAGCAAAGTACTTGGGGAAAAAGGGAGCTGAAACAGCTGTGAATAAGACCAGTTGCAATCCCCAGTGGCATAGCTGTATCCCCGGCACAGTAAAAACCCAATTGATTTCAAATTAAATATGCTGCCTTTCATGACAGAACGCCTTTCCTTCACACGCCACTGAACAAACTGACCTCCCTGAATTTCTTGATGGTGCTGCTTTGATGCATTGCATACCTGTGATTTATCGACACACATTGCTGAGGACTGCAACTTAAATTCCGGCTAATAAATAGCTGCAGAAGGGTCTGTGTTCAAATGGATCATAGGAAAATTGCAGTGATGGAACACAACTGAAAGTGTAATTGCTTGCCTGTAGGGTTTTTCCATCTTGGCAAAACAGGTTCAGTGTGTGGTAAAGGGGCTGTTTCTAGGGCAAGAGTTTGCGAGTGACACATTGTTTTCCACTACCTCTGAGCATGCAAACGTGTACACGGATTGAGCCGGTGCCTTTTACTCAGTCTGTCATGAATACTACACTTATTTGGACACTTGCCTGTGTTTCTGCAGGAGAAGAGAGACATCCTAGAGTTTAAAGCAGCAAACCCCAGTGCACTTTTTCCCAAAGAAATGACCAATTGCCAGGTGTAACAGTGTTATGATTTTGTTTCAATTCTGTTTTCATCTCTCAAGGTTGGACATTCATTTTCAATATTGGTAGCGGTGATCCTGAGGCTTAGATAGGAGGCTGAAGCAGTACCCTTGTCTAAAGCATTAATCATTGGCGGGTGCAGCCCAATTTACTGTGCCAGGGGCTGCAGAATGCCTGGCCAGGTTTTTCCATTATGATATATAAGCCAAGCTGAATAACAATCAAAACTGCAGCCAAAAACAATCCTTATTGTCCAAGACTCCTCCAGTTATAAAAGACAGTTATGTTTCTTTGCTGTTTTCACAAAGCAAAGATATAGCTTAGATAAAATCTCACAGGATTGTAAGGTTGGGCATAGAGCACCACAGTACGATCTTTGATAACATGGAATATAAATATAAATTCTCACTATGAAGTAAGCAGTGCTACTGGGGTTTAGCACTTTAGAGAGGCTGCTGGTTCCTGTAAGAAACACTAAATTCAAAGAATGTTTTTACTTTGCTGTCAAAATAAAGAACATAAGAGAAAGCCGTATTTGTTGTTGGCTATGAAAAAAAAGTGTAAAAACTGAACATGTTTGCCATGAACATGAATTGTGCACTGTAATTCTTCAACATATCTGCTTATTAGCTATACCACTGCAAAGTATCTTAGTTAATGAAACATGTTTTCCCATCCAAAACATATTATTGGCGAACAGTCTCTTTGGGGTACTTGTACTTAGTAATGTGAATTGAAATAAGATTTTTATGCCCATAATTGTCACTCTTTGTTTATTCCATAAGAAGTTCGGCTGCCATTGAACACTGTCTCTCAAGTTGCGCCAATCCTGAAATCACCATTCAAATTAAAACATACAGCGGGAATAAAGTAAGATAAAATGAAAAGTTGACCCCCCTAGTCCTCTGAAGCACTTCTCTCTAAAGCCTCCCTTTCACAAAGAGCCTTTTCTGAAAGCATAAACCCGTTCCTCTGCAGTCTTTCCCCAGATACACCGCCGCTGTGCAGCCTGACCACAGGGACCAATCTGCGTTAACACGCCTCTGTGGAAGGTTTGATAACTCTTACCTGCAGTGAAATCTGAGGATGGGATTAGTGTCAAGGGGGCACAATGTACATTCGTTTCAGATTTCGCAGATCTCTCTTAGTGCCTCCTGCCATTACAGGAACCGGAGGATTTTCACTGTCTGCTCCTACAAGCTCTGGTGCGACTGACTACACAATGATTACACAGCAGAATGTCCTCTGCATTTTACTTGCAGTATGACCTGCTGAGATATGGTGATGTGATACAGCAACAAATTAGAATTACAATGTCCATACGGAAATCAGGCATTGAGGTGGCTATCTTTACTTCACAGTTCACATGTTCTGTTGACTGGTTTTGAAACTGTAAATTTACATTACTGTAAATGATATGAAATGTAATGATTTATAGGTATGGGAAAATCATTTAATTGCATCCCCCCCTTCGCCAACAGAAATGCAGCTTTGTCATCATTCCAAATGTTCAGGAGGATAGGTGTGTGTGTGACACCATTTCACCAGGGATTCACAATGATACTGTTTGTAAATGGCAGCTGTTAGCAGACAAGAGTATCATCATATTACTGTGTCTGATGTTACCAGCCTCCAACCAAGATATCAGGAATCAAACAGCAGCTGTGTTATAGTGCAGGAGTTAAGGCAGAAAAGAAAGTGAATGCTCAGTGCATTAAAGATGTTGAAAAGAAATGCAGTCAATTACCAGTCAGTCAGCTTAATGTCTGACAGCTACATACAGTACATGACCTTTCTAAGCATGGTCTTTCTTTCTAAATAGCAAAGAAGTATACTCTTTCAAACACCAAATCATACTATTCTATCTGCAATACAAAGTGGCAAGGGAAGTCTTATGTAATTTGCTGTCAAACAAAATTCTGTTTCAAAGTTTTAATTCTTTAGCATACCAATGCTACAATATGAATTTTCATTTACAGTTTCCATTATCAGTACATATTACAGACCACTGTATACAGTATACATGACAACTTACATTGCACATGTAGAAAATGGCTTTTGATAACTTGTATATATGCAGACAATGGCTTTCAGGACTTTAGAACAATAAATTCCATGTATGTTTTTCAATACATTACTTCTATGTTGACAAAAGTTCTGATTTCAATAGAAAGTATTTCCATCATAGATATACATATGTTTTAGTAAGAACTGCTCATTTAGCACAGTCTAAGTACACAGTACTCTGATGTCAAAATTGCATTGGTGTAAAACTAAAAGGTGTCTAGGATAGCTCTTTACACACCCACTAGCCAGCTCTTACAGTATTGTACACATTTTGGAAGCCATGGTAGATTCCAAAGACACGCAGTCTGATGGTAGCTTTGGAATTCCATCCAGAAGTTTTAATTTTGGCAAACTAGAGAACACTCTGAAACACACAAGCAACAAGAGATGTACTGCAGTATGTGGAGACAACAAATCAATACTTAACGCTTTTGTTTTTATTAAACCTTAGAAACAGTGTATGATGATCAGACATGATAGTTTTCAATGTTTACGTCATTGGGATAAGTAGGTTTCTACACAAGACAAAAGTGTGAAAAATCTGAATTACTTTCAGTGCAATATGACAATGTGAGATTTCACTTACAGAACCTATTGTAAAAATGGGCATTCAATTAAATTGCAAAATTAAATGAAGTTGGGAAAAAAGGAACAACATTTATATTTGTGTCCAACTTTAAGGCAGAAGATTGTTTAAGGAGGCAATCTTTCACTTACTTTGACCTGTAGTCTTCCTGAAATTCACAGGGATTCCTTTTCAAAGTCAGTGACTCCAGAGGTGTTGTCCTCAGGTCTGACAAATCTCTCAGTGTCCCGATGTTATTTTCTGCTAGGGACAAGTGTTGAATTTGAGGGATCTTTGGCAGGTGTCTGATGGATGTGAAATTATTTTTGTTCAGATTCAGTCTTTTGCATCTGTATAAGCATGGCAAAGAATAAACATACAGATCATTTTATATCTTCATATATTTTTTACTTTATAAACTGTAATCATATTGTTTACAATATTCAAATCTAGTAATCAATCATCTTACTGCCAATATTGTGTGATTCTAGTGCTGTCTGAGGTACGTCAAAATAACAATAAAACTTTAGCTTTAACAACCCAGTTCCTCACAATTTCAGAGACTTAATATTTCTCCTGTTTATGTATAATGCATATTAAATGAAACATCCACAATATCTCTTAGACAGTTAACATTCATTAAACTTTAAACATTAACAAAAACATTTCTCACCTTGGCAATCGAACAGAACTCAAGTCCCTTAAACAGTTGTCCACTAATTGCAGCCTCTCCACTCGAATTAATCTTCTAAGTATCCTGGTAAAATTCTCCAGTTGGTAGGGGTCTCCAAGGTCTTGATACGACAAATTCAATTCCTGTTCAAATGCAGATATAAGGGCCACATTTACTGGAAACATTACCGTCACTGTAATATGTGTGTTTTTTTTCCAGAAAATTGTCAACCTGAGATTATCACAAAGCACCGAAGAGCAGCTTTTCTTTTCTATACCTTGAGGACTTCAGCTGTGAATGTATGCAATGACGCCCTATGAAAAAAAAGTTGAAACAGCCAGCAAGGCTGAGTTTTAATGTATTACCTATGCAGCAATGCTTAAAAAAACATGTAATGTTTTGTAGTGCTTCTAAGGCACTTCGCACTCTGTTTTCATGCAGTTTGTATCAGTTTCAATCAGGGTACCCTCACCATGACATTTTCCCAGTTCTCCTGTAGTCTTTCTTCCCATTTCTCCCTATCTCCTTTATTTCTTCTTGCTATTATGTAATTTTCTTCCCCTCTCAGGATAAGTTCTTCTTCTGCTGGACCTATTGCATAAAACAGTACGTAACATTATTTAAATACAGATGCAGACATTAAAGTGTATGTGACTAAGCATACCTAAATATACTGGCTGTGTGAAAACTGTCCCATTCATGGAGACTAGTAGACCGCTGTTTGCAAAAATCTTATTTAGATGAATAATTTCATCTCTTCCCATACAGTGTTCGGCCAAAGTCATAAGCATAATAATGTAAAAACGGTTGAACTTCAGGTTTATTGCATCAGTATTTTTTGTTTTCATGCTGCCTTGTGGTCATCCAGGTGGATGCTGCACATTGGTGGAGGTGGAGGGGAGTCCCCATTACCTGTAAAGCACTTTGAGTGGAGTGTCCAGAAAAGTGCTATATAAGTGTAAGCAATTATTATTATAATTATTATTATTGTGGGCAGACAACACTCTGAACACTCTTGGACTTCCTTACCCTCTCTGACTCTGGGACTGGTTAGCTGGTCCCCTCGGACACCATGTTCCTCTAAATTATGCCAGGCTACGAACCTGAATCGGTCTGATGGCAACTAAAAAAAAAAGAGGATCAAAGTCAAGTGCGCATTTGGGGACGTCTTCACACTCATTTTCTGAGCTTGTAAAATATCTAAATCTAGGCTTGGGTACAATATAATTGCCACACATTACTGCTGCTGTCTGAGAAGCATAGGTATACCACTGCCTTTATGAGTGTTGATTTTAGCCAGTTACATCAAAAACTATGTGAAGACACTACTGTGGTAATCTATAGAAAACAATCTAGCACAAAGCAATGCAGTTCATATGCTACCTTGACCATTGTCAACCTACGGGAAAAATAAGTTTTGCAATAATGTTAACCCCCTGCTCAAATTGTAATTTATTATTTTCTGTGCATGTAGAATTATAAAAAAAAGAGAGAAATGGCTCCATATGTAGAGTAGCTCACATTTAGCAGGTTAATTACTTCTGCCTAACCAGCATTCATGCCATTTGAAACACTAATTCTGCAGTATGAGATGGGCTTTACACACTCTGCTTTTACAAACACTGTTAAGCTCTGAAGTGATATGTACTGATCTGATACATCCATCACTTCTGCTTATTAGTTTTGCAGAAGGCAGCTGTCAAGTGATGCCATTCATGTTTGGCGGGTATAAAATGACACCGAGGCACCAAGCAGATAAATCTGAATAAAACAGACATCAGGATGCAGGATACAGGATACTTGTTAGAAAAACAGCTCCAAGTGGGAGTTGCTGATCTTCAGCAGTAATGAAATTCTTTCAAACCGAACGTTTGCTCCACTTGCAAATGATACAGGACTTCTTATCCCATTAAGCCAAGCAGGTGCCGAGTCAGGTCAGGTAGTCCTATAAATATGGTCTTTAAAGTGCAAAACCTGTTTGGGACAGAATGCACAGCCGCTTAAAGGTCCGCAGCTGCCAGACAAGCCCGAAATCACATCTCCGATTCAGCTGCAGGGATAGGAGTGAAAAGTTTATACTCACAGGTGACGCAATGCCCGAGTCTGGACTATGTTTTTCACTGGCGGTGCTTCTGTTCCTTGAGACCAAAGCCAGCGAAGTGTTGGTGTCACTGAGATCAGAGTACCGTGAGGAGTAAGAGTTGGGCGAGCTATCGGTGCCTGTAACAACGCCTGAGGAACTGTCAGGAGAAAAGGGTGTCAGAGTGAGACAGCCAAGAGCTCTGAAGCTCTACTGCAAACCATGTGCTACAGCTACGATGTAGGATGTAATCATATTATTCAACTCCCCTAGTTCCAGATACCCCAGACAGTTTTAAAGACACTACACTACTGATATTGCTGGCTTTCTAAATCAGAATTAGTGGGATGCACACTATGATCCGGTTTGCAAATTGGTAACGAGGAATAAATTCCACATAGAAACCTCTGTGTCTTTTTTCCCTTCCATTACGTTGTATTTTCTAGCAGTGCTTTATTTTGCAGTGAGGCAGAAGAGAAAATGTTCGTGTACGTGTTTAACTGCTGTTGCACTTCACTGCATTTTTGATGAGGATTATCAAGCAAGACAAAGGCATGCACGGAAATTGAAAAAAAAAAACCCACCACCACCACCACCACCAACAACAACAACGTGGCGTTTTCTCAAAACCCATGAAACTCACTTTATATTTTTTAAACGTATTGCTCCTACTGTAATTCTCGGTCCTAACCCTTCTGTTACCTTGACCTCTCCACCTTGCACCGGATAACTTCGGTAGCCATTACAGGAGGGATAATTCAGTTTCAACACAGTGGCACAGATAACGAAATAACCTTGCTCTGCAGACGAATACATCCCATACCACTCTCATTCACAGGAGTATTTAAATGACTGAGGATGCCTTACCTCGTTTCATAACGTATTGACAACGGGGTGCGATGTACGTGTTTCTTGACACACACACACACAAAACACATAACATACCTGAGAGGAAAGGGGCTGCCGCCTTGCGGACCCTTGCAAGCTGCTGCCTCACCGAGCGAGGCTCGTCTGCTAGCTTTTTGGAGCTCATTACCCTTACCTTTCGGACATGTCCCGTCGTCGTCTCGGAGTTTTGTTTTCTTTAATGCATTCCGATGCGGTTGTCTCCCGGGCACGGCCGTGCGGGTTTCCATGAGAATTAACCCACCTGCTGAAAGACGATCTGCTTCTGCTGCAGCACCGCTCTCTCGGGGTCACCTGCCGGATTTCACTTTGGTCCCGTGGTTGACAAAAAAAAAAAAACTAGGGAGGGAAGAAAAGCGGCAGGTCAGGGTAGCGGCCCGTTGCTTAGCAACGCGCTCTCCGGCAGCTGGCCTAGGTGTGCGCCTCGGGAAGTTGTATGGTTGACCGAATGAACGCGGGATTAGCGAGTGATGCTCCAAAAGTACGCCTAAACACAGAGCCCCGAGGAAGCTGGGGATATACTATAACGTTTTTTTAAAAGATAGAAACTCTAAGACAATATCGCACAGGCAGTGACGCTGTATTGTCTTCCACCTCATGAACATACTCCGCTCTGTTTGGACACGTGTGATTTGACCCAACAGGCGCCATTGCTTTTATGGACCCTAGGCGAATAATTGTAAAATGTAGAGAGCAGGCGTCCTAAACTAAACGGTGATTTATAAACAAGCAGCAGAAATGTTTTATTTTGTCTGGGAAGTAGTGAATGCACCTGTCAACAAGCTTCTAATCAGACCGCCACTGGAAGAAGGCGTCCCCAAAATTCTTCCTCAAAATTGTGTTTTCGGTAGTTTTGTTGGAGATTAGACGCCGGTGAATTAACCTGTTGAATGTCAAGACTGTTGAAAATCAAGCAGGAGAGAAGACCCAAGGGTTGTGTATCATGGAAGGGGAAGGGTGTAACTTTAAGGACATTTATTAACATCACAAATCCTATCCACCATATTCTACTACATACACACTACAGTACATTTCAGTTTACTCACTGTACTCTTGTATGTGAGTAATAGTCATGGTGACAGTTACACCATTAAACAGTAACAGCATGTAACAGCATTAACAGCATGAGGTAACAATGTCTGACCAAGATGCCCTGCTTATGGATTGCATAATGTCTTTGCTTCACTGTACATTTAAGGTGAGACTGAGTAAGTGCACTGTTGATCTCCATTTGGGGTGTTAAAAGTCAGCAGTTTCTGACCTCTCTAAACACAGAGGACAGTGAAAGGCATATACTGCTCCAGGCTGTAGGAGAGTAATGGGTCGGTATCCCAAGAAACAGCTTCTGCATCTGGTGTAAACAATGTGTCACACATGTATACATATAAGCTGTATTGCTTTCAACTGTGGGTACACACTCCACTAGCCTGTGAGTTTGGGAGCAGACCCAGTGTTTATCAACACATTTGAAGACTAATGTTAATCAGCACAATGCGTTTATCTACAGTATGCCATTTCTGTTCAATAATGTCAGAAATGCCTTTGCTACAAAACTATTTTAGCATTTTCCAGATAATATACAATATGTATTGCAATTTTGAATACTGAGTTTCTTTTCATGCTCAAGATAGCTTCCATCTAGCTGTTTTCTTCAAGGTATATTTTGGTCTCTGAGACCAATATTTTCTTGCTCCAACAATGATTGTAATAATAATAATTGCTTATACTTATATAGCGCTTTTCTGGACACTCCACTCAAAGCGCTTTACAGGTAATGGGGACTTCCCCTCCACCACCACCAATGTCCAGCATCTACCTGGATGATGCGATGGCAGCCATAGTGCGCCAGAACGCTCCCCACACATCAGCTATCAGTGGGGAGGAGAGCAGAGTAATGAAGCCAATTCATAGATGGGGATTATTAGGAGGCCAAGATTGGTAAGGGCCAATGGGAAATTTGGCCAGGACACCGGGGTTACACCCTTACTCTTTTCAAGAAACACCCTGGGATTTTTAATGACCACAGAGAGTCAGGACCTCGGTTTTACATCTCATCCAAAGGACAGTGCCTGTTTACAGTATAGTGTCCCTGTCACTATACTGGGGCATTAGGACCCACATGACCACAGGGTGAGCACCCACTGCTGGCCCCACTAACACCTCATCCAGCAGCAGCCTTCGTTTTTCCCAGGAGGTCTCCCATCCAGGTACTGACCAGGCTCACACCTGCTGAGCTTCAGTGGGTTGCCAGTTCCTCCAGTACCAATGATCCTTTGCGCTATCTGTGTGTCCATCTCATTGCCACCGTAGTTCTTCACTCTAATAATTATAGCCCATGCTCTTGTTTGTACTATAAAACACATTCATTTGTTTTAAGTCTCTGCTTGTTTTTCCAGTGTTGGTGTCACCTACGGTTGGTAGACAGTATCTTTTTTGGAGGAAAAAAACAGTGAAGAAATTACTAGATAAATTATTCAGTAGAAGTGGTGAGTTTCCCCTGTGTTCTGTTGGGTTGTGTTGTTCCTTCTATGTACTTTGTTTTGCAGGTAGACAGACCGTAAAGGATGAGCAAAAATAAAACACTATGCTGTCACCACATTTCTGATGCTAGAGAACACTTTCGCAGTGTGCTTTGTGTATTCCTTTCAGTGCAGTGCTCTTTGGAAAGAGGCAACTACATGAACTAATTTTTGTAAAATGCTTTTTGCCACCATTATGCAGCTAGGATAAAAAAAGGATAGAAAAAAATCTAGAGACAAGATGTAAAGCAGCCGGTGTCATGAGTCACTCCTTTCTCTTGGCACGAGGAAGAAGGAGATACAGTACCAAAGGTTACAGTCACAGTCACAAACATGAGCTTCATATGCTAAAAATACAATTTGTCTTCTTTTATTTATCAATTCTGATGTCTCCTAACAATGCTTTCCCCATGCGGAATATGAAAGGTAATACAATTTAAGCACTGCGTGAGTACTTACAGTTGTAACCTTCAGGCACACAGATTGCAATATTTAGCCTCTACAAGATCAAAATATAAGTATTTTGATAATACATCATGATATATTGTTTTGTTGAAAACCCATTATTTTTCTGTATACCCACAAACATGTTAAGTGTGTAGTGAATGAAATGTAAAACAGTTTCATGTCGTATACAGGAGGTTTTTTCTCAGTGAAAAGCAGGAGAGTGTCCTCTCCAAGGTGTAGTCCTGCCTTCTGTCCTAATGTTTCTAGGATTGGTTCCAAGTCACTGTGACACTTACCACTACTAGGGAGGTTTTTAATTGCTAGAAAAATAATAGCATATAGTAACTTCATAAGAGGAGATGTTACGAGAAAGAAACAGGCAAGAATGCAAAGTGTTAACGAGGAAATTGTTAACAATGAGGAAATTATTTCCGTTTGCTACGCACTGTAGACCATACACTCTGAAGTGATGAAGAGCCGATTTATTTTCCCAGACAGCAACCCATAAGTTTGCCTCCAATTAAGCATAGGTAAATCTTCCCAAGATCCTTCATGATCAGGAAACGTGGATGCTCTTGATCTGAATTCAGAGAGTGGATTTGAACTGCTGTGTACAATTGGCTTAGAAATTAAAGAGGGGAATCATTGTAAATTCCCAATGGATTTTATTGTGTAACACCCAGTGTTGATTTGCTTTCATTGTCTACAGTATATTGAACTTGTAAGAAGATATGAATGCGTTTTCTAAATATTACAGTTCCTGATAAGACTTTCAAAATCCTTTTTACTAAAAGCCATGAAACACTATATTATTCACTACTCCACAGTACGGACTGCCTTTGTAAAATACCAAATTGTGTCCCTCAGCCTAATCAGACATTCAGTTCAAACAGGCATGTGTCAAAGATCTAAATTGATCAGTATTTAAAATACAACGAACATTATAAGATAAAGGGCGAGACAGCAGTATTCTCCTGGGACAGTTCAATCAGGACAGTTGGCTGCAAACTACCCATAAGCTTATATTGCTGTTTGAACAGTCCTAGTTGAAAGTGAAGGGATGTTCATTTGTGACATTTCTTGGGATATGTAAATTATGAATCCAAAGGCGTACTGGCATGTTTCAAGGTTGTTGGTTTGATTCTGTCTTGGACGCCTGACTGTGTGGAATTTGTATGTTTACCGCATGTTGGTATGGTTTTCCTTCCATCTTCCAAAGACGTATGTCAGAGTTTAGATTTGTTACTTTAACTTGTTTTTGTTCATTTCCCTTCTCATTGTATGATGGCGGCCCTGTCAGGAGGAATTGGGGTTCCTCTCTATTCTTCGCCTGGAATTGGTGTGGCCTACTCAGCTTTATAATGCAGGTAACGAAAAGCACTTCAGTAACTTCTCACATTTTAGGAAACAAATCGGATTTGTAATTTATGCCATGGTGCTGCGTGTGCATTTGAAATTTAGATAGAGGAAAAAAACATTTACTTGTACGTACAAAATCACCGCAAGACAATCACCAAATGAAGTTTGTGTTCCAGATATTATTTCTAAAAATATTTTGAAGCTTTGCCCTCGGTATTAATAACTGCGACAAGAGAATGGTCACTTTCCTGACAGCACTCTTATTTTGAAATCATCTGGATGGAATGGCTCTCTGTGCATATATACACACATACACAGCACAATTCTTAGGGCAGAACTAAAGGAATAACTCCCATTTACAAAATCTTAAAACTACAAACTCATACTATTCACAGTACATGCTAACTTACATTGCAATGTGATGTAAGTACTGTATATACAAGTGAAGGCAAAACCCTTTTTTAAAAAAGAAAGAAGTGATTTGTAATTTGTCACTAAGGATAAAAATATCCTTGCATGGGTATTATATTACTGTTTACATACTGCTTAAACAAAGAACGGCAATCTTCTGACAAGTCTAGATGTATTGTTTTATTTTAAAAAATAATTCAATAAACATTACAGAAAAATATTTTGTTAGGTACAGTATTACTTTCAGAGCTTTATTGTTGTTGCCCATACTAATGACAGAGGAATGGTGATCCACTATAGATATTTGCTCAGATTAGTACAACAGCGGTATCTTGTCTGCTTTGTAATAGGAAGTTAAGCTCATACCGTATGATATTGGTACATATGGTGTGGTTGTGGAAGAAGAGCCGTTTTATAGAACACTGGTTGGAAATGTGCCATGCTGTACAGGTCTGTCAGCTGACGGAGACATGAAAACTCATTAAGATGCAACTGAGAATAAGGGAGCAGAACAAAACGATGAGGAGAAAACAGTATTGCATCACCCACCTTGAATCACTTGCTAGGTTCTTGCATTCCTGTTAGGTTATCGGTTGGATGCAGCGAAATTGATAAAACATACCCAGATCCTGGAACTTTAACTTTAATTTTTATTTGTGCAAAGAGTTGGAACAGCATATACAGTATATTTCTCTTTGTACACCGCACACCATATTCAGACCTTTTATTTGCGGAATCTACAATATAGCCTCCCCTGATTCAGCTACACCTCAGTTGTGAAACGTACACATGCACATTATAAGATAATTTTGAATAAGGCAGGTTCTTATTAGTGTATTAGTTGAAATAATCTCACCTTTCATTAGTTGAAACTAAAACTGTTAAATTGTTCAGCAATTTAAATCCAGTACTACACATTTTACAATAAATATCTAATTTCATACAAAACACAACAGCAAATGTATGGTAAACATACTTTCATAATTTCAAATAAATTCACACATTTATGCCCATGTATGGTACAGTAAGGCCACTGGACAGTTACAGTGCGTGGAGCTTTAGGATATACTGGATGGTCTCTTGGGAGTAAAAGGGTAGTGGCATAAACTTTCCAGGGACAGCATTAATCTTTTTTATTCAATTTACTTGTGCCTGGTAGTTACATAGCTTGAAGTATCAAAATACTGCAACTATTTTAATAACGTTATAAAACACAGCAACAATGGAACAGTAAATTTATTTACGAAGTGCCTGTACACTGTCAGAATAAATAGAATTACAATGCATCAAAGTCACGGTCATTGCTGTCAATAACCTCCGGATTCATCACTCTTCCCATAAAAAGAATTGTTCCTGAAAAACAGATTAAGAATACTAAGGAATTTCTGCCTGAAAAGACCACTACAGTAAATGTTTCTCTTTTCGCCTACTACTGTATCATTTATTCTTTGTATAAAAAGAATAGTTTAAATTATCTGAAAGTGGTACTAATTCCAGTAATTAAACATATATCCATTACCTTTTAGCAGCACTTACAAACATTAAAAGGCTGCGAAGCTCACTTTTTATCCGATACGATAGCTTTGTAACAGTCTAGTAATACAACCACTTTCATAATTTTTGGGGTGTTATTAAATGTAATGTTCTGCTAATGCAACTCTTCTCCTACAAAACAGAAGTACATCACAGCAATAGCACTAGAAGAGACATGAACGCCATACAATGTGCCAAAGAGCTCTTACCTGTCTTTCTGGCCCTGACAATGAAGAAGAATGGGTGATCAGCCATCACTTGTGGGTAAAGCACGAGGGTTCTTGTAAGAGCAATCATCCCTATAACATTTGAATTAATACTTTAAATTCATAGCACAATAAAAGGCCACCAGTATCGGAAGGTGACTTTCTAATTAAATGCATTGGCAATTTTCTTCCACATTTCCTGAAGCACTATTGCTTCAGTGCAATTACCTTAAGAGGAAGATAAACTCATCTAGCAGAAATGAAACCTTTAGCTCTGTATCTCCAGAAGGGGGCACTGTTACCATTCGTCTTAGTGCATTCATGGCCTTGACTGCTTAGCTTCCAGAGTGGCCGAAATGAAAGACTGCTTGTTGTAATGCAATTATAGATTTGTTTCAGACAATGAAAGAGTGGGGAAGTTTAAAGTACCTGTACCAGCAGCTCCTTCAGCTCCTTCTTCCGTGACTTCGAGAAATGCCTTTTGAACAGCTTTTCCAATGAAAAGATCTTTCTCGCCTGTGTGTGCCACAAGGATAGTGTTATATTGCAATCTAAAGATAGTTACAAATCTCACAGGTGTTCCGAGTTCTTTCGTCAGTCTGAAACAGTCTAAACCAAATGCTCTTCTGGACAAAATGTAAATGCAAAATGTGACAGGTATTGATTTGCAGTGTCGTTAAAGGGCCAAATATAAAGGTTAAAATACCTGGCTGAGCAAAATAACGTAATGTGTACTTCATCACATGCATTCAGAAAACATTTTAAAGGCTACCTTCAATTAAAGCAAATTTGGTCTTGGTATGGTATTATGTACTGTAAAGATAAGCAATTCTACAGAATTTCAAATGTCTTGTTTTAAGGTAAATATGATGAGATACAAGGCAAAAGATAAAACTATGCTATCTGCTATACACCACTGACTGAGTCATAACATGATGCTACAGTATTTTTAAAAAAATACACAATGTGTCCAGCAATTTATAATCCATTTCTCAAATTACAGGACCAAAGTGCACATTTCTCATTACACAGCTATCAGGAAAGCAAACAGTGTATGAAGCGCAAACAGTACTATCTTAGGCACTGGGAGGTTTTAGACCACGTAAAATGCACAATTAGAAAGGTGTCACACCAGTCATAGCTGAAAGATCTGCATCTTTAGTAAAAATATTTTTAATGCCAAGATCTTGGAGGGTTTCCTTCAGGTCAATCTTCTGCTCTATTTTGAACCTGCCAACAGAAATAATGAGTATGAATTGCAGAAATTGAATAATTTCCCTGTCTTCTTCTGCTGCTCACACAATCTGTTAGAATTTCTAAAGCTGATTTGCACAAATTGTCTGCGTTTTTCTGCAAAGCCATTCCTTTAACCATCAAGGGCAATGACAGCTCTTTTATTTTTAGTGACAGCTATTAGCATTTAGATGCTGCAGGAAGCATTCAGCTGAAATCACGGAGCGCATCACAGGGCAATTTGTTTTCTGCATTTTTTTTTTTTACTAGGTTTGAATTAGACGGCACTAAGCCTATTTAGCTTTACACCTTAAGAAAAATAAACCCTTGAAAACTTTCACTTGACTATAGCAAGAGCAATAAGGCGTAGGCTTACCGTGGCAAGTATACCTCTACCTTCTGCTTTTTCACTGCCGCTGCCCATTCCTCAATCAGCTGAGCTTTAATAATTGGCTCCAGTGCTGCTAAAGGCACTTCTTGCCGGGGAAGAACAATCATCATGCTCATCTCCTCTCCCTCGTATGGCATTTCCAACACCTGATAAACCCCTCCGGCCTCTGACGTTCCATCACTAAACTCACCTATGCAGGAAACAAACTCAACTCAACTCAGGTGGCCTATTTCTGTGCACAGGAAAAGCAGAGCAATTTATAGAATTAAAGAGCTTATCTCCTAACGCCAGACAACACAGGATGCTGGACTTTTCCCTGAAATCTGATAACATTCTTCTGTAAAAAAGCATTAACATAATTGTTTTACCATTTAACATTGTCTTTTCTTATTAATAGGACAGTCACGAACCTATCTGATTGCCATACAAAATCTTAATTAAAACATATGGTATACTTTCGAGTACTGGAGCACATGGCTTTTCCTGAAAAAAATCCCTTATCAGACAGCGTCTTTAAGTGTTTTGGCAACCTGGAGAGCATCACAGATGCACAAGACAGACATCAATTAATCCAGTCAACCTGACTTTAGGAGGTGGGAGGAAATATGTATTCAGCTTTCCAGCATTTATTTTTAAGTTTATGTCATTATATGTAAGCATATTATTACTCAGACTCCTTCAGGTGAGCCATTGAGCACACGCCTTCAAAAACATTTTGACGATGTCGCCCTGTCTGACATCTGTAGCAGAGCTGCAGGTGAAATGAGCTGGATCAATATGAGCACGGAACAAAGGCTGACCCTCTCTCATGATAGAGTGCACTTTTTTTAATAAAAAATAATTGAAGTCCTTATTTTAATTACACTCAATTTAGGGCAAGTGCCTAGTATTGAATGTAATTAGTTTAAGGACCCCACCTGATGTTAATTCGTCAATGCTTCCTGTAATTTCATTGGAATCCACTGACAGAGCAAATGTGAAATGTAAAGCACACTGCAAAGCAACGACTCCAACACGTGGCCTCTTGTATCCGAAACAAAATCCCAGAACACAAGCCATTGAGGTGATATATGTGCTCAACATACTTCGCACTGTAAGTGTGCAGCCTATTTATATTCTGTCTCGAAGGAACGGTGCTTGATGCATCTGTATACTGAGGAGCCTGATCAGTATGAACAATACTTGGCATGCCTTCAGCATTCAGCCTCATTGCTCTGCTCACCCACTGCTTCTGCTAATTAGTTTTGTGAAGGACACTGCATTACAGAAAACAATCTAGAAGCTACTAATGCCAACCACTTCTCAACAACAGTTACATGGCAGCATTCTAAGCCCATGCACTATTACACACAATACAGCTTTCTGAAAGGTTTTTTTAATACTGCTATTTTAATCACTTAAAACTGTCATATTAGGTATTACACTAGGAATGCATGAATTAATGTTTCATGGGTACTACAGCTCTTGGAGATAGATATATTTTAATAATTCTTAGATTCAACACTTTAAAATTTCATGTTCTCTGGCGAGAGTTTTTTTTTTAGTCTACATGCAGGAGAAGCAAAACAGTTAGCTGTTCTCGAAGACTGCACTGCATTGCAGTATTTCTCCACAATAGGAGGCTCCAACAAGGAGTAGAGGGAGGCGTTGTGAAAACACTGTACAGTACAAGGTAGCAGGTACAATGCAGGTCTAAACAGTTCAGTGTCCGAACCGATAAGAAGCCCTAAACTATCATAACAGTTAAGGGCACATGAAACACCTTTCACGCAGGAGATCAAACACCTTATCAAATTCATTAAACATACAGTACACTTCTGTGGTGAGGAGAAAAGTCTATTGGATGGGACATTCAATTAACAGGGGTCCATTGTAACTTTGTGAATTCTGTGACAGTCTGGGAAGACTTACCATAGTAAAAATCCCCCTGTTGGTACATCATGAGCGTTTGGACTTCATTGCCATCGTCCTTTGTGAAAGAGAAAGTGCGGGTGTGCTCTGGTCGAAACTGGTTTTTCCAATTTCCTCGAAAATAGATGGCGTTGATAAGCGTGAGCCTAGTCGCACTGTTGAAATCGTCTGCTGACAGAAGATCGTGAATCTTGTCTGTGAAAAAACAATGTATGTTACTTTATATTCCTGTGCAAATTCTGCACATATTAAGAAGTACATTGAGTTTTCGCAACCACAGGGCTTAAATTAGATGCAATTTTATCTGTTTTTTTATTCTCCAGGGGTAAGGCATAACTTTAGAAAGTGTTATTTAGCGCTGTCAACCTTTCTTGCTCATTTGCAAACTATCTTTTGACCTTGGATTGAAAACTTAAAGCCTTCTTTGGGCTCAATTGTTGATGACAACAAAAATAACAATAATAAATCTACACCTACTCTCTGTGTGGTTTTCTACCCATTGGTTAATGTGATTGGCCACAGCAGTGGACTGACTGAAGTCCACCGTTTCGATTTCTGCTTTGAAATATTTCTTCATCTTTTGCAGGAAGTCTTCGTTGAAGTGGATTCCGGTCTGAAGAAAGAGAGAATTTGCCAGTTTCAGGACATACTGGGTCTCATCAGCCTCCAGGGCCCAAGTCAGGTTCTTCAAGATGAGAAGCTCCTCTCCTGGTTTACAATAAGAAAAAAAAAATGACAGAAAAAGTCAGGCTCTGTTAAAACCTAAACTATTTCATAGTTTGTCAAGAGATCAGTAATCCCAGATGAATTCTAGAATTAAAATGTTTTTCTAATAATACAAACTATTTCTCAGAGTCCTGTTATTCTAGAACAAGTACCTCCATAATTAGCACCCATTTTCACCTGCAGTTTTCCCACAGTCCTCTGCTTTAGATAGATAGATAATACTTTATTAATCCCGTAGTGAAATTGATGAGGCCCTGAGTGAAGGGCCCTGAAATTTAGGCCCTGAGTGAAGAGTAAGCAGAACTACCATCTGTGGAAGTGACATTCCAGTTGTCTGGCTTGTCTGCTGATAGTTCCATTCTCTCCCTCCTGCAAGACTGCTCATTTTAATATGGCCTGTCCCCGTATTCACTCTGCATTCTGGCTAGATAGCTGGGAAGGAAGCTGAACTCACCCACTTTTAGGTTTCCATATCCCACTGCTTGTCTGATTTCTTTCAAAGCCGGACCACGGGCCCCAAGCTCTACCATTCCTAAAGCTACCACAATGCTGACAGGAGAATAGATGATGTTTTCTTCGTTTCCCACTGACTGCAGTTGGCGGTACAGCTTCACAGAGAAATCGGCAAGTATCTCATCCTGCAGGTCTGCTTTCCCACATATGACTTGCAGCAAAAGCAGAGGCAAGATTCTGAGGAAAAGCATGGCTCGGGAGACTTCAAAAACCTGCGAAAGAGAACAGAGGAGATACAAAAAGCAGCTTCAAACAACTTCCCCATTAGTGTTTGTCAAAAGCAACTCTTTGTATTCAGCAGACGATTCCATCATGTCGTTCTAGGGATTGTTTCGTAAACTATGAAACAGACATTCTTATTCTCTCAGTAGTTAGGAGAATCATGAAGTTTCTTCCCAAGAGAAATGTCTACTAGATGCTTTATTTTAATCAAAGTAATGCTTTATTTAATCTCTGACCCAGATGCCGAGTCATAAATCAGACAAGTTTGAACTCCTCCTAGGCACGGGCACATATCCAGGTCTCTACTTATCATGCGCTTGCCCTTTACAAACACAGTGGAATGCATCTTTTAGTCCCTGTTGTTGCATTGCTACCATAATAAGACATATGAAACAAGAAATATGATTGTGTTTGAATTCATGGGAAGATGCACAAGATAAAGACCCAAAAAACTGTTTCAGGTGTCCTCTACAAAACCAATGGGGTGACACTGATTACAACCGGGACGTTCAATAGAAGCCACAGGATCATTAAAAATGCATGAATCGCTTTTGTAGTTGATTATTTGCAGTTCACTTCTATTTTCTGCATAATGCTACACAAGCATTTGCTTTTATTTGAGGCTTCAAAACAGGAGGGATGACCTAATGCCCTCCTGGGTACTATGTCCACGAAGAGGGTAATGACCCATATAAACCACCTAAACAGCCCATCAATACTGAAGCCAATGGTGTAAATTCTGGGACTATTGTTCCCAGTGGCACAACATTCTGCTACAGTAAAGCACTGGCATTACACGTAACCTATGTCCAACATGTTTTTGGACATATAATTACTAAAATGTATTAAATTACCCACATTTCTAATAATCTCCTTTTTGGAGAAAGGGTGATCATACATTTCTGATGAGCTTACAACCAGAGTTAGATACTTTTATTTTCCCAGCCCAAGGTTTTTTTTTTTTTAATGTTAAATGTATATATGTTATGATACATTGTCGAAATCAGCAAACCGGTTTGTTGCACTGGCAGAGTGCTGCTGTCATCGATGTGTATAAAAGTTACAATTATTCCAGGCCCTGGACAAAGTTTTTGGAGTTTTGACGATCGATACTGTATATCCACAGCGGGGGGGGATTGGGGGCAAAGAGATCATATTCATATACATGTAATTATGTGAAAGATAAGTACATCATATTCTAAATTTCACCTGATCAATGGCCTGCAAGATTTGCAATAGTCTTTCTTTCAAAAGGGGTAACAAAAAAAGTATAGGATAAACAAGTACAGGATTTTTTATTCCCATTATTATTCACATTCAATAAGCACACAGCCTCCAGAACAACATTTAGACCATTTAAAAAGGGCCGCTGAGGCTCTGCCGAACTGAAAGATACTTGGATGGAGTAAGATAAATACAGGCATTGCCAAACGCCACTCGACCTCCCCCCACTCCCTTCGCTAATAAGTAAGGCGGCGCTCTTTGGAGGAGGTGAAGTTATCAGCTCTCACTTGCTGCCCGTTCAGGCCACAGAGTTCGATCTCTTATCCTTCTGCAAGCAGGAATGCATTACGCGGCCATTCCGTCTTTAATATCTTACTTTCCATCTCGCGTTCTGAGAAAAACATCCTGCCACAGTGGCTTCAGCATTTCCCCTGGTTCTTGGAGGCTCTGTAAACCTGCGACAGAGCAGCAGCCAAAAAATGTGTAGTTAACAAGTTCATCTGAGCTCCCCTCCTGTAACTGAAGCCTTCCATCAGTGACGTCCCACCGGTGGAAAACAGACAGTTAATTGTGAAATAAACCAGCGCAGACAGCATACCTGAAAACAAGAAGCTCTCTTATCCTGTCCTACGGCTGACCTTTCACAACATCATCCAGAATTTTACAGGCAGAGGCCTGTTAGTGAAAACTGAACCATTAAATCCACTTGGCTGATAAAAATATTCATCCTTAATCCATTCTGGAAAAGAATGACAAAAAAAAAAACTCTCTACCAATGAAGGGATAAAAAAGAAAAAAACACAACCTGTCATTTATGGGAAAAAAAAATAAAACCTCAAAATGAATTTAGAATTTTCTCCCCAAAAATGAAAATCCGAGAAGATATGCCTTTGAACTGCCAATATTGAATGCCTACAAAAATCCTTCAGCAAACCTGCATAATGCTCTTTTGTATAAATCATCAGGTGTAGCATGTATTATTCTATATCATTTATGATCAACAAAGAAACAAGTAAAATAATGGTGCCTGATTTTGAAGTTAGAACAAAGTTAATTTATTAAATTGCAGAATAAGCAAGCTTCCCGTTAACATCAATGTTATGCAAGTATTAGTGAAATCCCAACTGTTCTATCCCTGTAATGCCTTATACTAGAACTGTATTCCATGTTGTCATACAGTGTCAGTGCTTTTCCTATTGATTTTGACCAAACCTTAAAGGATTCAGCTGCGATACACGATAAATACTTTGCAGCAGAAAATGAGCAAAGTTTTGAAGTTCTTGTCGCCCTGCCAGCACAAACCCAGCTTAGAACCTAAGCATCATTTTACCTTCTTTTTTCTTTCGATTTATGGATTCACTTATTGTACTACAGATCTTTTTATGCTCTTCATAAACGGTAGAACACCTCTTGTTTTCTACAAAGGGGGAAAGCCCATTTCTTGTACCCAAAGCCTTTTAAATGATGGAAAATCTTCACAAAGCCTTGGGGTTTCAGGTTCAGATTCTAGCATTCTAATAAGGTGGATTTCATATCTCAAAGAACTCCTCTTGTGCAGACTCTTGGTTCCTAATGAATTAAAATGCAAACACTGATTTCTGTAGAACTGAAACAAAATTGTACCTAGACTAAGCGAAGCTAAAAAAACAAAACCGGACCACTTTTCTGCATTTGAACACTGTGGCCAGCAAAAGCTTTTAGTTTCACACAAATCCTTCAAGACAGCTGCTCCTGGACCAAAGGATTTGGCAACTGTGTTCCGTTTTCATTTGTGGAATTCTCAAAGATCAAATACAGCATATTTTACAGACTTCTTCCTTATAGGTCTTTGGGATGTTTTCCCCCTTTCTTCTTAATCTGTTAAAACAGAGGGAGAAGAAAAAACAAAAGAAGACCTGCCCATAGGCCACTTTTGATTGTGGTCTATTTCATGCTCAACTGACAACAACAACAGCTGAGCACTGCCATATAGAGCTGTCAACTGCAATCACTGTAATCTTTGCTACAAGGGCACACAGAGGGATATAGGAATGCAGGATTTAAAAGCTCAAAGTTTGTTGCAGGAATTACACCAAATGTGACTTTAGTGCTCTGACAGGGAATAACCTATCTCTCATAAAACATCCTCAAACCTGGAAACGTACTGGTCTGTTTTAATGGTAACAAAAGCCAGAAGATGGACATATGACCTAAGGAAAGATACATCTGCTAAAGGATGGAACTGTATAACAAACTTATTGCATATGCATTTGGTTACTTGTTAAACACAAAACATTATTCACCTTTCATCCCAACACCTGAGTTTGCACATTTCATAATGTGAATATCTGTTGCCCACATATAGTAGTGAATATTTAGAAGACATCAGGTCAATAATATCAATCATTAGAATTTAGTGAGAAGGCAAACATTTACTAGTACTTTTATACATAAAATGTAGCCTGTTTTTCTTAGTCTACTCAAACAGTCTTTCGGAACTTGGTCAATACAGAATGTTGATCATTAGAACACGCCTGGACTGGACCCTCTTAATGTTCTAGAATATTTTTTATACCTACAGTAGTAATATCACAGCTTGATTGATTAAATCCAATATTTGCAACAATATCCTATGAGATTCTGTACAATTCTGAACAGGCTGATGTTAAAAATTATTTATACAATTTTGCAGGTATAATCTCTATACAACCTTACTGTAAATCTGCAGTCTGATTTGTCTATCATACCACTCACTCCCCAACCCACACACATTCCTCTTTTTTGGGGGTCTGAATCGCATTGATCTTCATTAAAGCAAAACTGTTTACAAATCAAAAGCAAAAGAACAGATTACATCAGATCAGTCTTAATTACTCTTTTGAAGTCAGGGTTAAAGGGTTTGCTCTTTAAAGCACAGGACAAAGACTGAATAAAGTTTATTCTTTGAAAAGGAAACCCTAACATCCAAACTCTTCTTCTTAAAAATCCTTTTCAACACAATGTTTTGCGTTTTGAAACGAAAGGCCACATGGTAAAGAGACACACCAAAGAAAACCCATTAAAGAATTATTATCAAAAATACCAAGATCTGTTAAAAATGAATTAAAAAAGACAGGTGTTAGGACTCCATTTCACCTCCTTTCAGCAATGGATTCCATGTGCAGAATAGAGCTGTGGAAACGTGGCCTCCAGCATTCTCTGGGAGCTGCTTAAGATTTGGAAAAGAGGATTTTGCGATACACTTTTAGAGACAGAGAGACTCTTGAGGCAATCTCAACCCTTGCCATTTTAGGATTACAGAGGACAGCTATCATAGATTTTGCAGTGCTGTCTGCATAAACTCCAAATTACAGCTTTTGTTCTTAAGGCAGGCACTTCGGTCACAACATGGGAGGTTACTGCTGTCTGTCCTGAGAAAGTAAAAAAAAACAGCTGGAAGGGTCACTTTAACACAACACCAAACGAAAATAAATGCTACAGATTCCAGTCAGAGGTACAACAAAGGATAAACAGCATAAACACAGACCACAGGCTTGGGCAGCTGTGTCACTCATTGTAGATTAGCATTTGCAAATACAAGGTTCTTTGTGCAGACGTCTCATTTCAACCAGATCATGTCAAAGGTTAGAAAGATTTTCCACCACATATTGAAAAATTGCCTATCGCAGCTCACTCCCACCTTAATCCATACACCTCAATGTGCTTACTGTATTGTATATTAAAATCAAACATGTAATGAAGAATTGTCATGTTACAATCCTCCCACATACTGCAGATGTCCTACTTCAGTGCTGCACATTATTATACCGGACTCATTCCTGGTACCTGGGATGTCTAGCCAAAACAGGCTAGAAGATTCTTTATTTGTGGAATCTGACAATCAAGAGTGCCGACAGCAGCACAAAAAAACAGCAATGGACTGTTTAATAATTCACCACAGAAACCAACAGAATAACAATCAGGTTTTCCTCATCGTAGAAAAAAAAAACGTTCTCAGTCCGACTTAAAAAAAAGCTTCAGTCTTCTCTACCGCACATCTGTTCGGGCTCATTAATCATGATAGCTCTGATTCTGTAATGAATGAAATGCATACATATCCCCATAGGGTTACCCAACTTAACCCCCGTCAATCGTCAATTGATGGCAACCTGCTTTGATCACCGTTGCAAAAACCCTTCACCATAATTTAGATTCTCCAAAAATAAATTAGAGTATTCCGTACACTCCTGCACAATCTTATCACAGCAGGCAATCGCAGTGACAGGTCCGATCCACAGATTTAACAAGAGGTAGTGGAGTTTTCTTATCCCAAGTTTAGGAGGAGCAGGGAGGGCCAGTGTAGACAAATCCACAGTCTATTACAAGTCCCATCAGTTTCCTTCCCTTACTTGTTACCACATTCCTTCTAACACCAATCTTATCGGACCGAAGATGGGAAAGCACCTCCATCTTCAGCGTTCTGACCCATTGCTCATTATGGGCGTTACCGACATGATTCAGCAATGGGAAAAAGAGACAGGAATAAATCGATATAAACCATCATTCTGCATCAGGGGCTAGCATGACCATTTTATTACAGCATCGGTTCATTTAATTTATTTCTCAAGCAGACGCGTAACTGAAATACTGTTGAGGGTAGGGGTTCCCCATGCAAGTCAAGAGCACAAGGCAACTGCTCGATGTTACATTTCTAAAAGAAATTCTTCAGCAACTTATTTTGAAAAACAGCAGTATTTTATTTGATTCTACGGCTACATTGGAAAGCAGATTCCTTCACTCTTCAGAATTATTTAGTTTTATTTGAACTTTCTATCTTACCTTTCTAATACACGTCCCCTGACCAAACAGCACTCAGGCACATAATGATCATGCCTGATGCTGGATACCTCATTGTTAAACAAAGTTGCTTTTAAATTAAAAAGAATGTATTAACGCATGCAATGCTAATTCAATTGGATGCCTTAAATTGGACCTTTTTTTTCCAGGCCAACATTAGTTCTTCATTTAGATGATACCAAAAAACAAACACTGAAACTTCACTGATGGCAATGCACCTACTGTATATACTTAAAACATCACCAAATACAAGAAGGTGATATGGGAATTTTTTTCCATTCCATGACATTCCTTCTCCTTGTGATCCTGAATGCTAATGACAACAGACTGTCCTTCAGAGAGATGCAAAAGCAATTAAACTTTGAGCTCCATCTCTACCGCCTCAAAGCATAATAAGCCAAATCGTGTGCAAATGAATTTGATGCAGTTTCATAAATTTACTCCAGACACATACCCGTCTTCTGTTTGTGTAGATGAATGCGCCATTTTATGTTGTTTGGGGCAGTGTGATGAAATGGCTCATCTGGGAGATTAAGTTAAGCTTTTTTTCCAGCAACAGCTAGGAGGTATTATTCTGTACTTCCTGGCACCCTTCTGAGGAACATTCTAAATAAACTCGATTTTCGTAGCCCCACTTAAGTTTGCTTAGCACAATTAATAAATAAACCACAGGATTAATTAAATAAAAGGTCAACGGGAGCTTTAGAAATTATTAGAAACTCAATATGTGAATATTGCTAGGTTTTCCAAGCAGCCCATACTGCGGTAGAAGATATTTATCACTAGAAATGGGGATAAAAAAGGCAATTCAATCTCTATAAGAAGCAAACGTTGTTTTAAATATGACCAGACTTTAGATCGTTAAAGCAGGGCTTAATGTGCCAGGGTTATAGAAACCCACTTCTTTAACAAAGCATGCATGTCTCCTTGGACTTTTCTGTGCCTGAATAACTTTCTTAGACACCAGTGAGAGCTGTGCTTCAGAGATTTAAACAGTAATTGGATCTGCTGCCGTTTAGATTAATTGAGCTGAATAAAAGACTTGAAAGCTCTGAAAGGGATGTAGTGGCTTTTAAAATACACAAAACCAAAGTGTTGTGATGTTACACTGGTAAAATACTGTATGCAAAACAGCAATTCATGAAAAGAATAATACTAAAAAACCTGAAAAAGAATCGATAATATATTCCTAAATTATTTGCCATAATCAATGACTTGATGTATGTTTACTGTCACACAGTTTCACAGAAAATGAAATGGTTCTAGAATTAAAAATTAAAATAATTTGATATCTTTTTTTTTTCTGTAACGCAGGGGCATTTCCGTCCTCTGCCTGCGCACAGATGGAAGAAAAGCCCCTACTTGCATGTGAAGATTTAGTCGGTATTAACATGACGCAAATTAAAGACCTCACAATGTTAACACAATGTTCCGTTTTTGTTACGCTAAAACGGAAACTGCTCAGTGATTTTAACATTACACTTAGCGAAGGTTCAAGTCGAATCCACGATTTCTAGGGGGGGGGCGGGACATTTTTTTTTATCGTAAACAGATTGGTTGCTTATTTTGTGAGAATAATTTTTGAAGGTGTGAAATCCACACCCGTGCTAGGAGACACGCCAGAATTAAAAAAAAAAACTAAAATCTATACAAATAATAAATTTCTCCAACAACGTACACACCAGCAAGGACAGTAACAAAATAAAACAGTATTTAACTAGCTGCTTGTTTGACACGTACTGTATACTAGAGGATTTAAACTCGCATACGTACATCAGAATAGTGCGATTCAGGAAGATCTTGTGAATATATGTTCTTGCCATGTGGTTATATACCAATTTAACGTACTAACGTTAACACCCAATTTTACGTCTCACTTTTTACTTTTTAGGTGGATTATCTACAGATCACAAATGCCAAGACGTTTAATCTTTAAAAATATACATTTACAATGTCACGAGAACGTCGGCTTGGCAACGGATACATATATATACAGCATTTTACATAACATACACAGCTTTTTACGTGAAATGTAAGAAGATAAGAATTCGGAAAGCTAATCCGTTCATTTGTATATTCTCTACGCCATTCACGTGTATCACGAGTTTAATATAAACTACCCAGGAGTCATGCACACCGTCGGCTCGTACATTATTAATATGAGATTCGGAAAATAACTTCACACACAGGAACACACAAGAATAGGTATCAGGAGAACAAAGGACCACTTTGCTATTCGCAACCCGTCTCTCTTGGTAACTAAAAAAAAAAAAGGCAGATTTTAGTCATTGCACAGCTAGTAAAAAAGAAAAACCCCAAAAGCCAAGAACTGGAGAGAAAAAAAAACTTAGCCCTCTAAGAATAAAAAAAAAACCCACAGACACATCATTGACAGCGATGCTTCAGTTAAACGGAGAGCGATAATGACAACATGTTGATTCGTTTCAGCACAACGAATTAGGACTTGGTTTGACATTATAAGGCATTTAAATCCCTTCCTTACCAAGTGCTATTCTGCTAAGGATGCTTAGCTACAGTAGCACTCCGCCTCTCGGTGATGCTTATTCCTTTTGGACGCCGCGGCAGGTTCAAGACAGACCTAAATATTTTCACAGCCCGATCCCGCCTGCCTCCATACCCATTGGCTACCTCTCCCGTCCTACCTTCACAACACGCTAGCCTTTATGCTAGCCGTATTTCCTCTAGCTACTTCGAACTGCGAAGGGGTGGATTTCAGACCTGTCAGTGAAGATCAATCGGGCTGCTATCGCGTAGTAAAAAAAAAAAGAGGGCAAAGAAATGCATGATAACATGCGAAACCCGCTGTAGTCAATGAGCTACCCATCCGTGCACTTTATTGGCCGAGAGGAGTGTCACTCACTGTGAGGGGGCGGGGACGCGGAGGCGGCGAAATGCTTTCTGGTACTTGGAGTTTTATAGCACGTAAAGCGCCAATCTTCGCCGCATTAGAAAGGCTCTCCAAAGACTACAATTCCTACTACCGACCTAGCCGTCTATAAAGCTTTTTCTGGTTGGTGTACTGGGGACCTCGCCTCAACTCCCTGCGTCTCTGGTCAGGCAGAAAACTTCCGTCTTCGGTAAAAAAAAAGAACACATAAAAACGGAGTTTGGGGGCTTATTCGGGACGGAAAGAAGCAGGTACGTACTAAATATCAAAAACCGCGCTGAACGTCTCCTTTTTCTGCGAACTTCGTGTCGATGGGTTGTCACTCTTCGAGGTGCCCAGTGAAGTAGTTAGCGAATAGGTATTTCTAATAATGCTGTTGTTATTAATATCGTTAGCTTTCGTCTCGTTGAAGGTTTCCTGGTTCTAGCTTGTCCCCCGAAACAACATCCGCCTGACCGGAATCGGAACCGCCCGGGTCTGATACCGAAAGGCACCTCGTCCGAGTGAGCCAGAGGTCTACGGGCCTCGGCTCGGCCTGTTGTTGTTGGCGCGGAACTCGGTTAGAAAGGTGTCCGCCGGCCCAGCCCTGGGAGCCGGGGGGCTGGTCCCTCACCTGCCGGCAGCCCAGGGACAAGCCCGGCCACCCAGGCCTTGGTATGCGGATAGGACAGATTTTAAAGAGCTGTTTTTTCCGGGTTCTATACGTCCTCTCCTGGTTGTTTGAAACGACATAGCTATCGCGCTTAGATACAGTTTCGCGTCTCATTTTAAGCTGGAAAAGTTTCCAGCAGTGATCAGTGAAGCCTGGCTGGTGATTACCAGCCTGAACTGAAGGTGCCGTATTTCCCATTTTCTGTTTAAACCCGTGACAGCTTTGGAGATGGCAGACCGCCTCGGAGTGAACAGTGCGGTGAGAACAGTAACAATCCCAAAAGTGAATTAAACACACAGCAGGGTCAAATCTCGTTTCGTGTTCTTTATAGTTCGACTAGTGATGTTAAATCGCTACTTTAAAATGGGTTGCATCTGTGCGTTTCGCATTAGTCATTAAGCTATATGTGCATGCGTATCAGTTATGCTGAAATAAATAGTCTCAGAACTTTTAGACTTTTAGAATCATGAGAATATGATAGGAATTGATAGTGATATTTAATACCTCGCCTTACTGAGTTTCCTAACAGGTTCCTTCAGGCTGGGTTCAGCAGTGTGTGAAATGACTCTGTGGTCATCAGGCTTCTTGTCTTTTCACTTTCTAGAATGAACATCATCAGCTCTTTTTTTTTTATTCCCTAAGCAGTTTTCAGTAATGCTTCAAAATAAATGCCCGGGATATGACCTGCTCTTTATACAGCACTTTATGGGAAGCTGATTGCCATCAGTAAGTGTTTGGGATGATTTCATCTACCCAAATTCAGTTTGGAAAATATTTATCTCAGTGTGGAATTTAATAATTGAACCAGCTGTATGCAGATATTCCCATAATGGGAAATGTGCTGTCCTCCCTCCTACACTGTATTGGTAGATGTGTGAATGATTATACTGTCATTTGAATCAAATCCCTGCCGGTACAACCTGCTATATATACTTAGCAGCTTTGATTTTTGAATCCCAATTTCCAATGCTGCGGAGCATACGTTCAGCTTAAGCTACACATTCTTCTTGTGTCGGGGGCTACGTGCTGCGTGCAAACGTTTTTCCAGATTTTGTAAATGGTATTTGTAAATACCAACACTAAATGGTATTTACCAAATCTTATTTACTGGAAGACATTTGACTATCAGGACTATGATTTGGGTGTGACTTCAGGTGACCTGAAGATCTTTCTTAGGAAAAGCTTGTATATTTTACTGCACACCTTGTGAACACCTGTTCATATGAGGTTGTACTTAAATTCTGGGGCCCTGGAACTATTCCCATTACAGAGCACTGGCTGGGGTGCAGAAACAGAGCCATCCAGGATAAGACTGAGGTTCTTGTCACTTCTAACATCCCAGATTTTGCTCAAAGAGTTGTTGTGTAGGCGAGTTAGGCAGAGGACTCCCAATCAAGTTCCCTTCTCCTGCTGATAATATGCAGCACTGACCACTCCAGTGTGTTCAAGGAATAAGAACATACCTCCCTGTATATTGGGGCGGAGCGGTGGCTCTCTGGCTAAGGATCTGTGCCTGCCTGTGGCTGAAAGGTTGCCAGTTCGTATCCCATGGCCGGCACAGGAATCCGACTCTGGGGCCCTGAGCAAGGCCCTTCACCCCAACTGCTCCAGGGATGCCGTATAAATGGCTGAGCCTGCTCTGACCCCAAGCTTCTCTCCGGCTGTCTGTCTCATGAAGAGCAAGTTAAGAGTATGTGAAAAAGACAAATTCCTAATACAAAATCCCGTATATGGCCAGTAAAGTGATCTTATCTTGTATCCAATCCTGATTTAGTGCATTGATTAAATACTTGATCATTTAAGGCAGTAAATTTAAGAGTGCAGAAAAAATTGTGATGTACGTTGTTTTTTAAAAAAGCTGTGTGGGAATGATTAGATTTTTTTCTTCCGTTTTCTGTTTTTGCTTATTTGGTAATATTTCAAAGACAATTCAATCTTATTTTTGCAACTATAAAGGGGTTTTGTTCTATCTCCGTGTACTACCCCTACCCTGACAAGCAAACTGGACAGAAAGCAGTCCTATTGACAGAGGCACTGAGAGAGCCTAACTGCAATTTCTGTATTCAACTGAAATGCATGCCGGTATTAATATTGAATTCACAATCAGTTGAAAGATGTCAGCAGATTTAACAACATGCACAAGAATAAATTAGGCAGAGACTGAGACTGTGAAAAGGTGAAAAGTGGAAGTAAACCTGGACAGACATGAAGCATCCAGAGCTGGTCAAAGGATTTATAGGTCCTAAGGACGATGGCGCCTGAACCTGTCAAAAGCAGAGAGGTAGAGGGAAGTGGAGGGTTCATTGCTTGTTTGTTCAACAAGCAGTTTATTGCTTTTGCTGTAAAATCCACCTCACAAATGCAGCTTGTATCAGATGGAACTCAAGATTGGAGAAATGTGCACACTTCTTAACGGACATAAAAAGTGACATGCTCACTTACAGTCCTGCCAAAAATGGAAGGAACTGGCTACAGTTACATTTTACTTAAAATATAACACTATTAATGAGCGTGGTTCAGGTAAATGTTTCATGCCAAGCATCTGACCCTTTCTTGTCTTAACTGATTAAATGTCCAAGAAAATTTTATATCTGATGAAATTCCCCATTCATTACCTGGGATGAATTTTTTACAGTGGGACTCCTTTTTTTTATTAACCATTACAAGTGGAGCTTTATCATGAGGAAACAAACGTCCAGCCTACTATACTTGGACCTCCCTATTGATTGGTGTGTTGTATACAGCAATTAGTGCATCATTCAGCAGGTTCTGTTGTCCATCAGGCTGGACTACAAAAAGAAAACTTGGATTAATCAGTTTGCTCGCAGCATCACGTTCTGTTGAGGTGAGGAACACGTGAGCAATAGGTGCCTGTTTTGCGACGATGAGCCTCATCACAGCTAAACTGCTGATGGATGGGTTATGTTTTTCAGCTAGGAATTGTATTTTTCTTGAAATGGTGTGGAAAAACAAAAGATCTGAAGGGTTCTGAATTGTGAGAAATTCGAAGCTCTTTCCTAGAGAGTGGATTCTGGTTTGAGTACTTCAAATGTTTTAAGAAGACATTTACAAAAACATGGTGTTTACTCTTTCCTTAACAGCCATTTCCTGAAATATGTAGTAGGCTTTGTTGTGTTTAAAACAGGACTTGTGTGATTGTTATGTGGTACTTCGTTCACGTCAGGTTGCTGAGACTTATTTGAGTAAATACTGCAGGCAAGCTCTAAAGGCTGACCTTTACACTGCTGCCATAAATACGCCTCAGAAACATAATATTTCATATCCTGCAACATATCCACGCTTTCGGTCTGTGTAATGAGCTAGTAGGCATGAACTTTATTCAGTTTAATTAAAGGCAAGATAAACTGGAAGGGAGGTTTCAGTTTGTGTAGTTGACCAGTTGGCATGAACTTTATTCAGTTTCATTAAAGGTGGGTTACACATGAATGGAGCTGTTGAGCTGAATGTGAGGACTGCTCTGGTTGAACGTGGAACACCACACAATACAAACAGGTTTCAGGCTTCATTCTTGAAGGTCCCAGTGTGATTTGTGTTGCAACCTGATTAGAACTCGCAAGCCAACTTTCCTGCTTCTCATTTCTATACACAAGGGTGATGGTTTCACTGGAATTGGTAAGGGTTGATAAATTGAAAAATAGCTTATTTCCTAGTGGCAATCTTTATAATATGCAGCAAACTCCAGTAGAATAAATACTGTCCCTTTTTTCTTTGCAAGCATCTTCCTAAATTTATATGGGCTAGTCAACAATTAAAAAAAGTTAAAAGAACTTGTATCAAAATCCTTAAGCAGAATAGGTTCAAAAGACTAGTAATGGAAGAAACTGATTACAGAATTTCAAAATCTTCCCTAAATAATTAGTCTTGATTTCTTCAGGGCCTGGCTTAATTTGAAGGCTTCATTCCAGTCACCAACAGTACATCTAAAATGGGTTATTTTGGTACAGCTCTAGTTTTTTCCACAGACGTTTTGTGGAGTTCTGTGATTTTGAGAGGTATTCTCAAAATGTGCTATAAAATTGTCATTACTTCAATTTAGGTAATTCAAAAACTGGACCTCTCTATATTGTTCTCCAAGCCACCTTAAGTGTAATTTGGCTCTCTCATCAGTAATTACCCTTCCTGGCAGAGCAATTAACTAGGAACTGTTTTTTCTCATTATCCCATGAAAAAGGATTGAGAGGTGTGTGGGCTTTTTTAAATGCAATCAAATTGAAGGTTCTCATATGAAGTTGAAATTAATGGGAAAGAA